AATCAGGGAAAACAGGCCAAGTGCTCATGAACATCAAGAAAACTTTATAACAATACATTACCATTGTTTGATGAATACTGTCATAATTACACACTTTTTACATTATGAAAATAAGTCATAAATAGTGTAAAAATAATTCCGAAGATCAACTTCTCACAAACTAGGAACTCTGAAAACAAGTTAAAAAAGCAAATGGAAAACACATTAGAAACCAAATACAAAGTAGTTAACTTGAAATTGCAAATCAAAACCCACACACAGCTTTTAATTCAGCAATGGCAGCTCGAGAAATTAAAACGAAATTGAAATAAGAAACATAACAGGGATCATTAAATCTTTCAATATTTACACTACTGATAAAACAGGTTTGTGCCATATTTACAGTGGCAAGACATAGCATATTCGTAGAATAATCAAGTTCATGAGACGGACCCAACAAACGTTAAGAAAAATATGCAGTGTAATGCTCGCCAAAATATTTTTTTTTTTTTAGTTTCTTCTTACTTTGTATTTATGTGACTCCTGGCAATATAAAAATAGCTGCACATAGAGGTGAACTTTAAAATGTAAAAAATACAAATAAAAATATATTTTCTAAAGAAAAATCAGATACATACATCTTTTAAAAATGTTATTAGGTTGCATGAAACATTTACAACAGTATAAAGAATATTCACATAAATGTCAACAATATGTAAGACATTCTTTTGTGAATCCAATTTATCAATATTTCTGAGATATGTGAGAGTATTCATATATTTTTGAGAAATGTTGGCATTTTCTTCATTGACATTATCAGAAAATCAAACATAACAGATAAGTTTGGAAAAGTCTATTTTCTGAAGCATATCTATCACAAGGCAGCATGTAGAATCTTAAGCATTTAAACACATATTTTTAAACTTTGGGAGTTCATTGACATGTGTCAGCATTGGATTAGCAAAACAAAATCCATAAAAAAATTTAAGTTGAAAATGTTTCTCTGCCAAATCATATCATAAATCTAGCCAATATGAAGATAAATTAATAAAAGTGGGAAAAGTAGGAATTGGAGGTTCTTTTATTCTAAATATTTCATCAAATTCACAATTGGTCATAATATTAATTCTGCTGGGAGTGAATGATCCTAATACCCTGAATCACATATGATTGTCCTAAATTATTATTTTTGAGAACATAATGTTAGGTTGCTATAGATTTGTCTTTCTAAAGGTAGCAGCGGTTCTGTTTTTATTTTGGTAAAAACAAAAATCTTTACTTTTGATAATGTTAAATATTAGTACAATTTGAATATCAAGAAATAGATAAAAACAGTTTCAATATCACTATTTTTATCAAATATCAGTATCATGTATACTATGATCATTTGCTAGAAGATATTGAAACACCACTCATCAGACAAACGTAAATTATTTCTGATTAAGAAAATATTTAATTGCAAAGAAAGATATAAAGTAGTGCTAACTTCTTATTCTACAATAGTAACATTTTAAACAATTGGAAAATTAAGCACTGTTTCTAAGTGATCAAAACAAGATATTGGGACATATTTTCTGATTTGACCATTTTCCAAATTAGTGTGCATACTAATTTAGTGTACATTAATTAGAACATGCACAGTAGAATTGTCCACTGGATGCTTAAGTTCTTTCTGTCCCAATTAGACCCTCATCACAGAAAGTAAATTCAAGAACAGACCCCTTTTTTGGTAGAAATTCAAGAGTCTCATGTTTTCTATAAACTCAACTAGGAGAGAAAAATTTGCCAAGACTGCTTTTCATAATAAAAATGAAACTGGAAGAAAATGTAGGCATATTTATGTGGCATGCACATGTGCATCCTTGTCTAACACTGGTTTTCTCATGCTTAAATTAGGTCAGAGATGAGAGGTCATCGGGCATATGGGATATGAAACGAACATGAAAGAAGAGGGTCCGAGATCCAAGTCAACACATGTCATCTACTGAACACTGTTTTGTTTTGCCTTCCATTAAAAATGACTGGTCATTGAACTGTAACTGTAGCAAATTCATGAAACTGAAAAATAAAATCACACAGTTTAGGAATGCTATTAAACAGAGAAATAAAATCATAGAGAGTTGCATTGTCCATAAAGGAAGAGAAAAGATAGACATGAGCACCAACATGAATGGAGAGAATTTGGAGAGGGGCTGGGTCACACCTGGCAGGGCTCAGGGGACCATGCGAAGTGCTGGGATTAAGCTGGGGTCGGCCTTATTCGAGGAGAGGCCTCACCCCTTGCTTTCTCTCTGCTTTGGGAAAGAATTTCAAAGCTAAAGCACATACCAATTTGGCATCCCTAAAAGACGTTTCTCATAAATAAAACCTAATCTTGACTCTTTCCCAACGTACCTTTCATGTATTTCCTCCCAACCCTCTATCCAATCATATAAATGGAAAGAAAAAAATATTTAAGAAAACTAGGAAACTGCCAACACATATTGACAAACATAATCCATGAGCTCATTTGGCAATCATCTGAGGCTTCTCTATCTTGAAGACAAAATAGCCTGACAATGTTTTAGTACCCCAAAGTTGAGGATTAAGCGTGGTGGTGAAGATGTAGTAACTCCAAAGAGTCCACTGATAACAGGAGTAACATCACCTTTTTTTTTTACCCCAAGGAGATAAATGTCAAGGAAGTTTATGGCATCCTTTAGTCATGGAATAAAGACTCAATGTCCAATTAGTTGTAGAGCATAAAACTTGACATATACACATAGACAAAAATTGTAATTCCTAAAGGTTGGATGCTCAAAGCAGAAAACTTTATTTTTTGTGGGGGGTACTAAAAGTATCTTTTATGATGTTGAAATATTCTCTTTTGAAGCCGTGCACATTTTTAGGGATGCTTAATACCTCCTGATTCTCTTTCTAGTGACTGCTTTTTAATGGAGGAGAAGACAGGAAGAAATCTAGCCACCAGATTTTTCTCAAGACACCAACTACTGTTTGTTTTCCTGGACAGACTATTTCCTTTATCAATACCAGTTACAATGAATTTTTTCCAACAACAAAACCTTATCCTAACCACATCATATAAGAGAGGGTTAGAAAATGCCCTTTGTTGTTTTAAAAATGCTTTGACTTGACCTCGGTGTGTGGAATGTTATGAGAAATGGTACCAATTACACTGATGGAACAGTTTGAACATCTTTCCAACCTTGAAAGCTTAGTGGAAACAAACAAAAAAAGACATTTTGTATAATTAAGCATTTGGTTCTATGATATGGAAATGATCATGAAGATCTTATGATCTATATCTTATAATCAGTATCTTTTATATCATTAGAATTAGCCAAAGATAGACTTGTTTTCCCTTAAAGATAACTACTGTCCATCAGAGATGTCTGTCTGCATGTGACCCTTCCACTTATAAAAAGCCACTTCAAAACACGCTGCCCACCTGTTACTGTGCCAAGAAAAGCCCAATCTCACACTGTTAGCAACTTTCCAGCAAGGGTTGAAAAATACTCTTTAGCAATTTCATTTCACAGCTTTCTGAGACCTCAGTTTTGGTCTGCGGATCAGAGGGCAAGTCAAACATTTAGAAATATAAAAGAAAAAAAAAGAAGATGAAAAAGTCAAAATACAAATTAACTTTAGCCCTGAAACAAATAAATTCATACTATCAAATGTGACCAATCCTTGACTTTATCTTAAATGGTAATCACTATATTCATTCTATTATCACATAAAAAATAAAGAAAAGAAAAGCACTGAAAAAAAATAGCTTCACTTTGCTACTTTCCAGTGACATTAAGTGAAAGCAGAGACTCCTTTTATATCGCTTCAATTATTCAGGACAAAAGAGAAGTGAGTGCAAGGTCATCTTTACACCTGCGTACCAAGTTACTCCGAGTTCTAAAAAAATTAATAATAATTCTTCAAAATGTGACACAAAAAGAAACAAATCTTTTCTTAACATTCCTGGGACAATTAAAAGAAAAGAAAAGAACAAGTTTTTAAAAGAAAGAAAAACATCTTTCCATTTTGAAATGTTCATAGGAAATGTGTGAAAGGGTCTGAGCTGGGAAGGAGGGGGCCGCTAGGATGGAGACCAGGCTCACCCCCTCCTCAGAAGTCACTTGGGTCGATCCCTCTCAGGCGTGTTATTTCTCCAGCAACCGGCCTTTGGGGGCCCAGCATCCATCCTCAGAAACAGGGGCCGCCGCTGCAAGAACCTCCTACCCCAAAGAAACACTCTCTGCTCCTGCCATTGAGCACCCATCCCAATGCCGGCTGGAATTCAGTCTATGAGAAACAAAGGGTCATCTGCGCTGGATGCCTGGTCTGGGAGCCTCTTCCTACGTGGTCACACGTGAGCCCGTGCAGGACGCAGAAGGCTCAGCTTGCTTTGTCTCCAAACCGGATGCAGCCAACAGCTCCAGCAACTTGGCCTTTCCAACCAAGGGGGCCATGGGAGCCCACCAAACCAGAAGCTGTCAGGACTGCAGCTCCCTCAAATTGCAAGACCGCTTGTGTGTCTGCGCTCTGGGCCACCTTACCTCTTTTTGGCAATCAGCCATGGTGTAACGCCCTTGGGATGACAGAGGAAAGAAAAACCAAGCTTAGACGTGAGCAGCGGATGCCGGGGGGCAACATGCGAGCCGGAGGGGTGGCCCGGCCATGCGTCTAGAGTGGGTCTCAGTGGGTGCTGTGTGCACACGCGTCCATGCTCAGAGTCAAGGGGACACGGGGCGGGAAGCACTAGGGTCAGTTCTGGACACTGTCGCAGGCTGGAGTCTGTATTTGGTCACAATTGCATGTAAACGATTTCATGGCACTTTCTGTCCATGCAAGTAACAAGCCCAAAGTAAGAAAATGGCAGGAACGGTCACTCTCCGTTGCGGTCTGTCCTTATTAGCACATATCTGCCCGTAAGACAAGGAGGGACTGAGCCCTGTGATTTGCAGGCTCCGATCTTACGGACTGCCCAGCTTCGGGGGACAGAAGCAACTACGGACACGTGTACTACTGCACGCGGGAAGAAGCAGCTACAGATACACACATATCAGGCTTGTCAAATCTGCAATTTGAGTTGCAACTATAAATATAAAAAGCAGACCATGTATATACACAACTTCATGCTCGGGGTGGTTAGCGTCATCACTGCAGGAAAACAAACGACAAAAAAGACAAATACATTGAATTAGTTGTCTAGGATAAAAAACAAAACCCTCCGGTTTAATGTTTAAGCAAATTGGTAGAACCCTGGATCGAATCGTTTTTAAGTCAGCGAGCTCACCCGCATACATCCTATATGTTGCTTTCCTAAAACTCCAGGATGTTATTAAAAAAATTTGTTCTTGGTTCCCGCCACCAATTTTTCTTTTGTCCTCAAGAAGGTTGGGACTCAGTAGCTATTTCTGGGAAAGCAGAAAATGAAGATTTTGCCATGCACACGCACAACTGAAATACATTTCTTGTCATTGCTTCTGATCATGTCCTTAGGTACTAAAAGTAACTGTGGAAGCAGCTAAGAATTCTGCCCTTAGTGGCCCTGAGGACCTCACTGGCCAGGACTATTCGCATTCGCTCCTTCCCTTTCTCTGGCATCATTTGTCTCTCCCTGTGCTGCTCCTCCCCGCTGTGGTTGCAGGGCAAGAGGGACCTGGGGGACCCCGGGACATCGGGTTGAGGTAGGGGGTCTCTAACGGCTGCTTCCTTCTCTGGGCGGCCACAATGATTACACTTTTCCTAGAATGGATGTTAAGTTCAGTGCGTTAAATTCAGGATGTTAAGTTCAATCACAAGGGGCAGTGATTCTGAATTGCATATAAACGCACACAGCAGACCCTGGAGACACTTTGTCAAAGGAAAAACAATCACCCAAACCCCCAAACCCTCCATTGAGAAAAAGGAAACTTTCTAGTTCATTAATTAAAGAGGTTTGTTTTTCTCTGTCCAAGAAAAGTAGATGTTCTGTTAGATGCTCTGAGTTCCAGAGATGGAGTGTTCCGTGTTTTTACTGCCCACTCCAGAAAACGGGAATCATTCCTTTTTCCAAAGCTCACTTATCTCAAATTTCACATGAATCATTCAGAGTGCCACAACCAGTGATTTGCACACAATCTATAGAAATTGAAAGATTCTTCCCCTCCCGAGATTTTAATGAGAAAATTTATCCCCTTGCTTTAGGGAGGTTTGCCTACAAATCTGTTGGCCCTAGCAGGAAACAAACAAAAAAATACAAAGGTCACAGGAAGTGTCCTACTACCTGGTTTCGGTTTCTGAATGAGGATGGATGGAGGATGGTGACAGCCTGGAAATATTTTCTAAACCATAAATTCCGCTTTTTGTACTCCACTTATTGTAAATCACACAAAAAACTTGCACACCATTATTTTTCTGTTCTAGTTTAGCATCGCATCTTGTGTTGGTAAATCTCAAAGACTAAATTATAGCTAAAAGATAACTAAAACCAAGATCAAAGTTTTGCATAAAAGAATTATTACTGAGCGTAGCATGTCTGGGACATGGGTTGGAACATTATATGGCTGAAACCCAATCACGAACAACCTTGGAACTGTGTATCTCACTCTGTGATTCAGTTAAAATAAAAAACGTAAAAATTAGAAAGGAAAGAAAAAAATGAGAGTAGCATGTTCAAGGGAATTTTTTCATTAATCACAATATGAACTTCTAGGCAAACGTTTACCACTGCGTTCTGGGTGCTAATTAGCAGAACGGTGTTTGAGAGAGAGGCCACGGAAAACAGGACTTCTAAAAGTAATCTCTTGGTCCCCTGCATTCAAAACAGAATTCAATTTGACTGCATATTAGAGATAGCTCAGTGGATAACAAGAGTTTGGACAACATCTCATTTTTCTATCCCCCTTTTCCCTGCCTGTTTTGGAGAGATGATGTTGGGGAGTTTTATCGTGTGTATTAGGGAAAATGGTCAGAAATAGTGATATTTAATTAGTGAACTATTATTCTCTCTATTGGACTGAGAGTGGTAGGGAATGAATAAGATTTAACATTTATTTTATAATTGTATTTTAAATAATTAAATTATTATAGATAAATATGTACACTAGGCTAAAAAGTGGAGTTGCTTGAAGTTAGGGAGGTTGATTCCTCCCATTTTCTTTTTCCAAAGAGTTGCTTTAGCTATTCGTGGGGGCTTATTGTTCCATATAAATTTCAGGAGTGTTTGCTCCATTTCTTTGAAGAATGTCATGGGTATCCTTATAGGGATCGCATTGAATTTGTACAGTGCTTTGGGAAGTATTGCCATTTTGACAATATTAATTCTCCCCATCCATGAGCAGGGGATGTTAAGCGAAATGAGTCAGAAAGAACGGGATAGACACAGAAAGATTGCATTCATCTGGGGAACATAAAGTAACAAAATGGGAGACTAACACCCAGGAGTGGCCGAGATTAGTACCAGGAATTGGTACTAATGACTTGGAGGCCAGCCACATGTGGTAGGGGAAAAGGAAGCTCAGATAGAGAAGGGAGCACCAAATAAGGGTGTTGAGAGGATCCTCCCAGGATGGGAGAAGCATGCTGAAAGTAGACTATAGACCAAACATGATTGCCACTCAATGCCTCTCTTGCAAACCACAGGACCCAAAAGGAGAGAGAGAGAACAAAAGGGAATGCCCTGCCACAGAGGCAGGGTGGGATGGGGGGCTGGGGGGTAGGAGAGATGCTGGGACCTGTGGTGGGTGGTGGTGGAGGATGGGCACTGGTGGAGGGATGGGTACTTGATCACTGTATAACTGAAACCCAAGCACAAAAATCTGTAAGTCTATAACTGTACCTCATGGTGTTTCACTAATAAAATTTTTTTTAAAAAGTGGAGTTGCAATACTGGAGAAAAATATAGTAACTTTGGGGGTGTCCCACATACAAGTCACATGGCTCTATCACTTAGACCACACTCCCACTCAAGTTACATTTTTGGCGAGTGTGTGGGGGGTAGTTTTGGGCCACAGTTTTTGGTGCTCATCAGTGGTACCAGGGATCAAACCTGAAACTCTTGCATGTAAAGTTCACTCCAGGTCTCTGAGCTTTTGCCCTGGTGCCTCAACTTATTTATTTTTATTTTTTTTATATGAGGCAGTGCTAGTTTTATGCTATCTTTCATCCTTGTAGAAAATAGTCTCAACTTAATGGAAAAGTGAGAATTTCAAAGGGGACGTTGTGATTTTGATGCTACTCACAATCCACTGAGCCCCAAAGCCTGCGAACCCTTGCCTGTGCCGTCATTATTCTGCTGGGGCCAAGAGGAAGTGCTTTAGTGGGGGCCCACCAAGGATGCGAGGCAGGTTCCCAGATGTGGCAGACTGGGGGAGAATTTTCTCAGCTCCCTTCTAGGCAAGGTGCCGCTGATGGGATTAAAAAGTCATTATACTATTAGGTTACGGGTCAGAGGTTAGAGACGAAACTAACTCCAGCTCCCACTGGTATCAAGAGGATCAGATGGGCTTCTCCGGGGAGGGATCTGATGATGGGCTCATCTTCCCGAGAACGTCTTGACCCTCCGACACTGTGGAACTAGTTCTCAGACAGGATGAACATGGAGCTTAGGAACCTACTAAATACCCAACCGGCCCAGAAAATTTCCCCTCCCTGGCCAAGTAGAGTCAAAGTAGCTAGGCCAGACCGTGAGGGCCACAGCACCCGCCGGCCAGGGTCAGCAGAGGCAAATGGCCCCTGCTCAAGTCAGCTTCTCTTCAGCTTCCTGCCATCTGCAGCCTCCTGCTGGAGTCGCTGCAGCCCATGGGGCAGGGAAGACCAAATAAAGGTCTGAGACTCTCCCAGTAGCACAGCTCACCAGATCTCGAACCTCCTTAAAGTTCCGCTCTGCTTTCCTGTTGCCTTATAATCTGTGGCACACCAGCTCGGGCCTTAGGAAGTTACTTAACCTCTCGAAACGCCTCAGTATCTGTCACAGGAGCCTAGAGGGCTGCTGTCAGGACCTCCACCCAAAAGGATGAACCTTTTGGTGCCTTCAGACTAAGGAGTTCCTCTGGGAAGGAAAAGTTCTTTCCCCCACAAAACTCATTCCCATTGACCTTTCATGGTAGAGAGAGGCTAGAGTAAATGGCTCTTGGAAAGAAAGCCAATTGAAATAAAACCAAGTTCTCCTATTTGAAACAAGACATCGCTGAAGAAATAAAAGAAAACCCATCTTATTTTCTGCTTTCCCAGTTCTGTGATTTAAAGTGACAGGGTTCTACCATGTATTTGCGTGAGTAGTTGAGTAGAAATTGGAGAAGAAGCACAATAAGGAGAGGCTTCAATCAGTTGGAAGATAAGGAGTTTGAGACAAGAAAACCATCATCAAATCGCACTTTCCCTTTCTGTTCCAAATAAAGCCTTAGATTGGGAAGGGTCCAACTCACAATGTTTTACGTTTTTTGAGAACCTTCTTGCCCACACCAGTTTCAGAAGAAACCAGCAGAAAACATCTTCATCAGAAGATATTCTGAAGATGGGGTTTTATGCTTTTTACCATCCAAACAACTTTGAAATTCAATATCAAAATCAGAAGGTTTGTTTGAAATGGAAAAGACTGAGGCAGGTGAAGAGAGAGGGAGAGTGCTTCTTTTTAGGAATAATTCTGTAAAACCTACCTTTTGCCAACAGCCAGGCATGGGTAATCCATCTGGCCCCTGTTTTAAAGAAAGAGCAAGAATTCCTCAGTGTCCGCAGAAATGATCTTGACTTCCTAATTCACAGGCTCAAAGACTTAAAAAATGCTTTCTACACATAAATGGCTTTAGCTAAAGGCATTTTTACTAATTACTAAATCCTCATAGATTACATAATTCCAATTTGAGTAAAAACATTAAGAAATTTTTAGAGTGCACATTTAAAAAATGTATTAGTTTTTGAAGATATTTGAATATTTGAAAATATTGCACCTAACTTTGAAAAAAGAATTTACTAGGCATCCTGATCTGTTCAGTTATACCTTTAGATAATGAATTTTTACTGTTTCTCTTATAAAAATACTTCACAGTTATCATTAATAGATGAGTTGAAATAACATCTTTTCTTGATCATTATGTCTATGATTGAATGTATGGTAATGATTAATAACAATGATGAATCATTTCTATCTGAAGTTTATTGCTCTTCATGTGCTACTATATTTTACTTTTCTGTACTGACAGATGTAGTAGAACTCATTCATCCAATCAACTGAAGACAGAAAGCCCGTCTAGATTTTTGCAGTTAAATGTAATCTGTAGTATTCATCAATTTTTCTACTGAATACTTCAGAAATCAGTTAACAGATTCTGAATAAACAAGAAATTCATAACTGTTGCCATATAAATTTTCACTTAAAGTGGAAGCATTCTTCAGATACAAATGATACTGATAAAACAGAAAGAGTTGTTCTATAATGAGGCATGCTTGTATTTTTTTTCAACAAAATGATCACAAAATATAACTTATTATAAGTACCAAGCAAACAAAAGAATGGACACTCATACTGATACTTTCTAATTATTGACTAGATAGAATATTTTCTACCAATACAATCTGTCAAAAAGAACTGGAAAACATAAGTTCATCTTTAAACAATCATGCTTAGCACAATAGAATAATTACATCAAAACATGCAGACAAGTATAAACTATCAACACAACCATAACTTTTTTCTTTACATGTCAGAAGATATGCATATATTTTGTTTTAAATATCTATAGCTGGAAACAAGCCACTTTGAAATAGCTTTATCTAGTACTTGGGAGAAAAAAAATTCTGTAATGCCAGATTGGTACAAGGAAAAGGATCACCAGGAGAATTTAGATTTTAGTATAAGGAGGAATTTTGAGCTCATGCCAGTGGAGATAGGGGAGTCCATCTATTTCAGGAAAGTGAGTTTCAAAAGGAGAGACCATTAAACCGGAAGGTTATGTGACGAGAAAAGGAAATGGGCTGCAGGCCATCATCTTCTTTGAAGGTTCAGGGAAGTTTGCTTTCCTTCCCTGGGGCCCGCCAGCATGCCCCTGAAGCGGGCCATGCTTGACCCCAAGGTTTAACTCTGGAGGTCTGGCCCAATCCACAGCCCGACAGAAATTTAGTTGAAAGATGCAAAATTAACTATTTCTTTTTGGCTAAAAAAGAAAAAAAAATCTCCACTGAGGCGTCATCCCAAGACATCGCCTTTGCATAGAAGATTTTTTATGTACATAGAGCATCCTCTTTAAAGACTAATGAACACCTCCCCCACCCTCAGCACATATGTGGTGGTCGTGTCAGTTGTGAGAGCAATGTCAGAAAATTAGTTCGTGGCCAGGGATGGACATGCAACATCAAGAGGTGACTGGGCCAACAGTGGCCACACATGCTGGTTCTCCTCGCTGACACATGCACGAAATGTGTTGGTCATGGAGAGTTTTGGACAGGAACAGAGGTGACATGTCAGAAGCAAAGGAATGGCATGCGGGGCGGCAGGAAAGAGATACTGTACCAATTGGCAAGGAGCGTCCAGCCCGTCCAGGCCAGGCTGGCCTGGCTCCCCCTTCTCCCCCTTAACGCCACGGAATCCCTGTTTGTGAAGATCAACTCATAATGTTATGGCTGCAGGAAATCGCGGAAATACACGTTTGTGCTTGAAAAATAACAACAGCGGCCCAAGGCCAGGAATGGAGCAAGCCTGGAGGGACCGGCAGCAGCAGACGAAGGGACGGGAGGAGGAAGACCAGGCTGGCGTCCCTCTGAATGACATGTCCCTCTCTGGCTCTGGCAGGGACAGAAAACCAGACCAACCGGGAGCCAGAGCTCAGGGGGGACGGGGACAGCCTGCAACAGGCATTTCTTGTACCCCCCCAAATGACTTGTTCAATGGCACCCGGGGGCAGCGCCTTGCTGTCGGGGCCCTGGCGGCTTGCTCCACTCCCTTCAGACGAGGCAGTTCCATGAGTCACACATACCAACGGGCAGGGTGCATCTAATCCGGGGGCGCCCTGTTCTCCTTTCTCCCCTTTGGGCCCCTTTTTGCCTTTTTTTCCCTTTTCCCCCTGTGGATACAAGGTTCACATCAAAGATAGGTTTGACTGATTTTCTTTAGGGAGGGGAAGGGAGGTCATCAGCGGGGCACTGGAGCTGGTCTGTCTGGGCACATCTGGAAGGACATTTACCACCGCTTTCTGGGCCCAGGAAGGTGTGAGAGGAAAGGAGAACGTCCACCTCCAGAACATCAAGACTTCTGGGTGGTAGCTTTTCTGAGCAGTGAGGTGCCACAAGATTAAAGGCTGACTTGTGTGAAGGAGAGGTTGGTGCTGACACGGTTCCCCAGAGGAAGTGAGTCTGGGGTCTGGGGAGGTCACGAGACCACCCAAACTGAGCTCCACACCAATGGCTCCAGGCCCTCATTTTTGATAACTGCCCACTTGCGTTCTCTCTAACTGACCAAAATTACGTGGATAAAGACAGTATTTTATTATATTTTTTGAAATGTTTCCAATCTCATGACTTCACTTTTGGTAGTCTTCACTAAAAAAGCCAACATATTCAAAATAGGCTTTCATCTTCTGTAACTTTTAAAAAAAAAACAGAAAGCAAATACTTTTCATATGAAGTCAGGTGGACAAATAGAAGAGGTCAACATTTCTCAGCAATGGGAGAAATCATGTTCAAACTCAGGGATCTTTTCCAGTATGCTATTGATCACACGCCAGTGTCCACAGTGGTAAATGGGCTTCCAGCTTACTATATAGCAAAAGAAAAAAAGAAGAAGAAGAAGAAAAAAGTTGTTTTCAAGAGAGGAAAAAAGTTTGTTGAGTTGAACTAACACTGAAAATGAGGCAGGAAGGACAGTTACATAGTGAGGATGTAGCCTCGGGATTAGTGTTTAGGGATCGAGATGACAGTTGTGGAAATGCGGAGATCACAGGGCTGGAGGAGCTGGGGAAGGAGGCAAAGGAGAAGAAGAAATGCGCCTCAGCGGCTTCCCGCTAACATAAATCTCTCACAGACTTAGAGACGAGAAGTTGGTGCCACACGGAATCTACAGTGCTCTACAGGACACATTTAAATTAGCGTATCCATCCTGCCACCAGGAAGGCAGAGACAACACAGTTGGTTAATCTCAAAAGCAAAACAACACAAATATTCAAAGGTTAAAAGACATACACAGAGCAGAAATATATGAGACAGGCATCCAAATTTGTGCATTCATCAAGATTGTATGAGTAAAAGCTCCTTATTTATGTCCCATGTGCCAAAAACACTGCCTCCGAAGGCCTAAAATAATAAACACTTGGATGTCCTTAAACAGGAGGGTGTGGTTTAGATGACCATGATCAAAGGCAAAATCCCCAGAAGCCAGGGTGAAAGGCAAGCAGGGGAAGTGGGGGACGCCTGGGAGTGAGTTGGTAGTTGGGGCATGAATTAATTTAAGAAATATAGTCTCAAGATCCAGGGAAGATATTCTCCATATTTAGCCAGAGTGCTGTGAAGACAAACTAGGTGGTGCTGTCCTGACAACATTCGGTGGGCTGTTGAGAAGCCCACTGAAGACCTGTGCTATTTGTGCTCTCATTTTACTTTGACAGGACTGTAGCACAGCGGGTAGGGTGTTTGCCTTGCACATGGCCGACATGGCTGACCCGGGTTTGATTCCTCAACCCCTCTCCTCGATAGAGCCCAGCAAGCTACTGAGAGTATCTCACTCGCACGGCAAAGCCTGGCAAGCTCCCCGTGAAGTATTCAATATGCCCAAAACAGTAACAACAAGTTTCACAACTTGTTGTGAGACATTACTGATGCCCGCTTGAGCAAATCAATGAACAATGGGAGGACAGTGCTACAGTTATCTTTTCGTATTTTCAAGCATTCCTGGGAAATAATATATAATATTTGGGGGCCACATGTGGAGGTGTGCAGGAATGACCATCGGTGGTGCTCGGATGACCGGATTTAGTGCCGGGGATGGAACTGGGGTTGTTCACATCCAAGGCTGGTGCCCTAACCCCTGGACTGTCTCTCTGGTCCTGGACATTATATTTTTTTGAGAATTTGGTATCAGGCCATTTAAAAACCATAGCCTGGATATCTGATGATCTTCCCTGTTTCTTTCCCCGCTTTCCCACTAGGCAGAGCCATCCTTAGTTCTGGGCGAGCGGCCTGCTTCCTTGATCCAGGCATGAATATGATTTTGGCACATAGGACAGAAAAAGGGAAAGCATGTGGAAGGCGTACACAGCCTGACAGCAGGGGGACAGCACGGGAGAAGCCACAAGCAGGGTCAGGCACAGCTGTGCGTCACCTTCTCTCCCTTCTCTCCCAGATCGCCCTTCTCGCCTCGTGGACCCGGGAAACCCTAGAGGGGTAGAAAACAGAGAACATCTATTGACGCAACCGTGGCATAACCGGAGTTCCTGAAACAGAACTAGCGTGTTTCTGGATGCAAATAATCAAGTGCAACAGCAATGGAAAAGAGTCTCAAAACACAACCAGAACAGGAGGCCCTAGAAAGGAAGACTTGCTGCCATTTCTCAATGATCCATAGACAATATTTTTCTTTTTCTCCTACAAATTGTGAGGTGGAGAGTATATGGCTGGGTCCTTGCTTGAATCCTGAGAAGTTTATTGACATGTGTGGCCTTGGGAAAATGACTCACTTCTCTGCATTTCAGTTCCCTGATCAGGACTTGGGGCTAATGAATGCCAGGGTGGTGATGGTGAGAGGCAGGCATAGAGCCGGGCATCCGCACAAAACTAGGATCTGGACAAACAGTAACCAGGATGACTTTTGCGACTGCTTTATTCCTGTGATACAGAAGGCGTGGAGAGCCTTTGCTCCTATAGTGTCTATTTTATAGATTATATTCTTAGAAGATAAGAGGGACTTTACATTAGAAGCAAAACTATTGCATAATGACTTTGACAATAGACACACTATTCCCTCCAGCAGGAGGTGAAAGGGATTTCCACTTGCAGCGTCTCTAAAAATAAGTGATTCAACTGAGGTTGTGAATGTGTTTCTGATTTGGGCAACTATTTTGAAATTCTACTATCAATGGGTAGTCATCAATTTTATAGCAGATGTTCTGTTTTTAATGTTGATTTCATGCAAACACTGGTGGTGTATTTTATATTGCTGTCTCCATGCGCAACAATATATGGTAAAGAATTAGTATGAGCACAGAGTAAAAGCATTCTTGCTGTTGATGATGGACTACTCACACATGCTCTGACAGGAAGATGTTTTTGTATAGATTACTTATGTTTATTGCATGGGTTACTCATGCTTGCTGTATGGATTACTTACATCGAGACCAGGTTCTCCATCCTTCCCCTGTCAAAGAATTACAATAGCTACATTAGTGTTCCTAAGTTTCATGAACAGGTGACTAAATTATTTAAGGCTTTTTGGAGATGCACAATGTATTAGAAAGACTTCAGAAGAATGAAAAAGATTCTCTTTCTATTAATAACACACTCATTTCATGAAATCAAGTCAAGTGACTGTTAACATTGCAAAGAAGGGCAAAGAGTGAAAATATTAGGTTATATTAGGCTAAAAGGTCTGACTTTTTGCCAAAGTATAATACTTATTATTATATTATTATAAAGCATAAGACTTGTTATTCAATGTATCAACCCAGGAGTAGTTTGGAAAGTAAAAATCCCATTTAGTTGCTTTAAAAACATACCAGTACTCATAAAGCAAGTATAGTTATGCTACTTAAATTAGAAAACTCACAGCAGTGAGTTCAGCAGTGAGTAAAGGTGGGAACTGTTGCCACACATGGCTTTAGCTTTGGTTAGACACACACCTGGTCCAAGAATACTAAAGGTGTGAGGTCCCAACAGGAAAAGTGTTCTGAAGTAGATTTTGTAAATGTGTGTCCCCCAAATATCAGAGGAACCCTAACCTGCTGTGCAGAGGGGAAGGATGCTTCTCCTTGGTGCAGTGGTCAGGGCACTGACCCCACGGAGTTACAGGGCGGACCCACTCGTCCCTCAAAAACCAGCCTCTCACATAGCACCAAAGTGACCAGCGATTTCAGCTGACAACTTCAGGTCATGACCACAGGAATGTGCAGGGGTGTGAAGGGGACAGTGGGGGTGTGACCCAGTCAATGGTAGTGGCATCGAGGGGAGCCCCACCCCCACCCCACTGCAGCGGCCCCAGATGCCCTGGGGAGTGGGCAGAGGCCTCGGCACGCCATCAGAGCAGACTGCCCTGGCTGGCCATGTTCTGGGGCTCAGTGTCACCACAGCAAAGAGGTGAGCTCAGACACAAGGGCGCCCAGGTGAGAACAACCTGAGCAAGGGCGTGGGTTGGGGAAGGCTGGGTCGTGAGCCTTAGGGAAGGCAGTTTGTAGTCACGGTATCTCTACCACTAGTGGTAGAGCCCACACCCACTTCCCTCAGGGAGCTGCCAAGATTGGGGGAGTCCAGTCATTAGCCCCAGGGGCACCTCCACTTCAGATTAGTGCTGCCTAATGGACAACCTCTGATCCCCCAACCTCGCGAGGGTGTGGGGCTGCATCCGGGCTTCAGGGGGAGAATGAAACAGTGACCTGGCGGAGAGTTGAGGGATACAGCCTGCCCCTCCAGCCAGGTTCGTTGACCCCCCTGAGGGCGGGTTCCCGGGCCAGCACAGGGTAGGGGGCCTGCATGCGGGGGTGGGGGGTCAGACTCACAGGCAGGCCGTAGGGGCCTCTGGGTCCCGGCTCTCCCGCTGCTCCCTTTTCACCCTAGAATGAAAGGTGTAAAGTTCAGACCACACAGAACTCAGAGCCACGTGCTTTTTCTCTGCGTGGAGGCAAAGCCTTTGGCCAGAGTGGCAGTGCCTGACACAAGAGGTCTCAAGCTTTGGGGGGTGGGGTGGGGGTGCTGCAGGATCTCCAGCCAGAGGACGCCCAAGAGCACAGCTCAGCCCACGGGATCCGCTGACCTGGGGTGTGGGCTAGGTTCCTGGGCATCAGAGAAAAACAGGGATCAATTCTTAAGATTTGACATTTATTATTCTTGCGGTATTGGGGATTGAACACAGATCTCTTATAAATGAGGCATTTTTTCCCTTTTTTGGTTACACCTGAAAAGATGTTCAGAAGTTACTCCTGGCTCTGCACTCAGGAATCACTCCTGGTGGTGCTCAGGGAACCATATGGTATGCTGGGAATCAAACCCGGGTTGACCTCGTGCAAAGCAAACACCCTACCCACTGTGCTATCATTCCAGGCCCCGAGGCATGTGTTTTACTATTGAACCAAACTCCAGTGTTACAGGGTGTGTAGCTAGTCTTATTCTTACTTATTTTGCTATTATTTCTGCAGCCCCTGATGGAACCTAGGGCTTTGGACATCCCAAGGTCGCGAAGCACATCTCTGTTTTTGAGGAAGCCTCTGTTTCTGAGGAAGCCCTTCTTTCCTTCACTGATCCTTCACTGCAGTATTTGATATTGAGTCATTTACAGACTAGGAGTCTCAGGTGGGCTGGAACTTCAATTCATTTTCTACCACCCACCCATGAAGGGCCTCTGGCCGTGCTCCCAACACTTCTCCAGGACTTACAACTGGGTGCTGGATGGAAGAATCCAACCCAACCCACACAGCATATACACATCTTGCTTCCTTTCCAGATAAAAAGAGATGTAAATTTAAAAAAAAAATCAATGTAAAACATGTCATACTAAAGGGAATGTTTTTCCAAAGGTATTGGCATTCCTGGTCTTGGTTTACAGTGATATCCCCTCATCACCACAGTGCCCCAGAATTGTCCTGTGCCCACTCCCCGCCCCGACACACACACAAAAGGTTTAAAAACATTTCTGCCTCCTCCCACATGCCCTGGTTGGATGGGCGCATATTTCCATCCTGTTCTCTCTGCGCCAATTTTAGTAGTCAATCCTGCCCCAGCTCGAAAGGCAATTTTGTTTTTTATTTTACTTATTTATTTATTTGCTTTCTGCGTCACACCCAGAGAGGCACAGGGGTTACTACTGGCTCTGCACTTAGGAATTACTCCCGGCAGTGCTTGGGGGACCATATGGGATGCTGGGAATTAAACCCGCGTTGGCGTGCAAGGCAACCACCCTACCCGCTGTGCTATCGCTCCAGTCCCACAAAAGGTAGTTTTGAATGCTTATAAAGCATTGGGATCTCCCGGGGTGCCCGGGAGTATGGAGTCAGGACAATGAAGAGGAATTCTGGGTGGCAAGTGGTGCTACCTTCTTCGGGCATTTCCAAAATTCAAATCCTGCTCAGGGTTTAGCAAGCGAACATCAAGGGGAACAAGCACGTTTGTACGAGGGGCTCCCTGGGAAAAAGGTTCTGTCCTACCACTGAGGAGATGGAAAGGCCAGGAAATGTCTCCATGGGTAAAGCACCACATTCAGGTCATGGCTGTGAAGGGACCCGAGTACGGTGCTGTATCGCCTCATTTCCACAATTCCAGGGAGTAAATTTCATGATGCTATTAGGCACTGATTAGCTCTCTCAGCTAATGACAGAGTTCAGGGAGATTACTGAAAATAAATATGATAAAAGTTGAAATTTTCATTCACTGTGAGCTTTATTACTGGAAAAGCAGTAATTACATCCAGTAAAATGAGTAGGCTTTGAAATGAAACACTCACATTTGAATTCCAGGCCTGGCATTTACTGGTTGGTTTAGTTTTAGGTAACTTTCTTAACCTTTCTGTGCCAGATTTTATTGGTATAAAATAAGAATAGTAACATATATTCCACAATAATTTTTGAGGAATAAATGTAATTACATGAGGTTTTATGTTGCCAAAAAAAGCCCAATCAACAGAAGCAATTATTAGAAAAGTAGGAGGTTTGCTCTCAGTGAGAGACTTGGCAACCCCAAGAGCCCTCATTCAAAATTAATTTCTTTCAGTTTGAGTTGGCAGCATTATTTATGACAGTAAAAGTAGTGGTGGAGAGAGTGCAATGGGCCACATGCATGCTTTGCATGTGGGAAGCCAGGGTTCAATCCTGGGCACCACACAGTACTCTGGATGTCAACTGGGCGTGACCCCTGAGCACAGAGCTGGGAGTTTCCCCTGAGCACTGCTTGGTGTGGCCACAAAACAAAGCAAAGAAAAATCAAATGTACTGGTGTGGGTGTGTGGGCTTTTGTCGTTACAGATTGGGGTTTAAAAGGAGGGTTCACCTATTCTTGGACCATGTAAACACTTCATACCACACACCCTACCCATATTCCAAGAGTATCGTACTACATTTGATGGGGTTCAAAGTAGGAGGCAAACAATCTTAAAGGGATATATATATATATAATATATATTATATATATATAAAATATATGGGCTAGAGCGATAGCACAGCGGTAGGGCGTTTGCCTTGCACGCAGCCAACATGGCTGACTCGAGTTCGATTCCTCTGCCCCTCTCAGAGAGCCCGGCAAGCTACCGAGAGTATCTTGCCCGCAAGGCAGAGCCTGGCAAGCTACCCGTGACGTACTCAATATGCCAAACACAGTAACAACAAGTCTCATGATGAAGACGTTACTGGGCCTGCTCCAGCAAATCGATGAACAACGGGAAGACCGTGACCGTGATAAAATATATATGCTATATAACATATCAACATGTTTGTGATCTCTTATACAAGGACTTAATGGCTCCTGGGTAAAATACAACAATCTCCACACTCTTTCCTCTAAGGATACTATTTGTAGTATTTTCCGCAGTTTTTCATAATGAACAATATAAAATATATTATTCTGGTTCTGCTTTGAGGCAAGGATTGGGGTTCAAGATGGAAACATCTGAAATATGGCGGTGGGAAGGTGTTATGGTGGTGGGATTGGTGTTTAAATATTAAGTGTAATCAAATATTGTGAACTACTTTATAATATAAAAAAATTAAAAAAAAAAAGTAAAAGGAGGATTCACGTATCCTGGTGACAAAACTCCACAGATTCATCTGCTATACCCAGCTCCTTCTCCCTTTCCCGACTGTGCTTTGCAAATGAATCTAACACGGGCTATTTGAATTATTATTATATATTTTTAAATTTTTAATTAAAATATTTTTTTTCAATTTGAATTAAACTGCCACTAAACTGTTTATTTGTGGAACTCATCTTGTGAACCTGCACACCTGGACACTGGCTCTGAGCTAAGACAGACGACTCCATCATGCTTCTGGGGCTGGAGCAATAGTACAGTCTCGAGGGTGCACAGCTGGCCTGGATTCAATCCTTGGCACTCTGTACGGTTCCTGCCAGGAGTGATCCCTGGGCTCAGAGCCAGAAGTAAGTCCTGAGCACAGCCAGGTGAGGCCCCCCAACCTCCAAAAGTCTAGGCTCCTTCCTAGGAGTATTCTGTACTACAAAACAATGCATTTCTTTACTGTTTAAACCATTTTAGCTGGGGGTCTGTCACTTAGAACCCAAAGCACCCTAAAGGTCCCGTTCTTGGGAGCAAGCACTAATGGATTTGGGCATGCAACTTCTTGTCCCAGATGAAACTCCATAAGAACTCTCGAACTGTTCTTCCATAAGAACTCTCAAACTGTTCAAGTGGATACTCCACAGGGCCATGAAAGCAGTTACCAGCCCAGGTGAAGAAACTGGCTGAGGGATCTGAGGAGCATAAGTTGGGAAATGGCTGGTTTCTCGTGGTCTGGCCCATCTCACTCAGGTCCTCTACCACAATGTCTATACTCCAGAATTACTCTACTATGGCCTTGCTCCTGAGCCCTGCCTCTGCAAGCCTGCAAGGTTTTCCAGAATCCAGATGGTGCCTCTGTGCAGGACCCTGGAGGGCCTCAGCCACTCAGTCCTCTGGGAGCACTGAGAACTGAGCCCGTGAAAACAGTCACCAGCTGAGAAACACTCGAGTGAAACTTCCCACGAATCCCCACTGGACCCCAGCGATGCACTCCGCCAGACGGCCATTTCATCGGCTCTCCCGGTTAATACTATGCCAGCACCGAGACCTGATACCCTTGTGGCACTTGAGAACTAGCGGAAGTGGCAGCTGGTTTACCAGACAGCAAATCCTCTTGAGCCCTGGGGCCTTCCGCCAAGAAACCACTTGATAGGGCTCTTCCATTTTTAGTTCACAGACTGGATTTCTCCACAGGATGTGTTCAGGGTGCAAAAGACTCTTAGCTTTGAAATATTTTTCATTAAGAGGATCTTGATAAGCCATTGGTTTGATCTCAGAAATAAGGCAATTACAGATGTAGATGACTTACTCCCTTTGGACTCATGAATTTCTAGAACATTCTGGGACAAAACCTGTCTTAACCATTGTAGATACAGCCTATACTGACTGGATTCGCTTTGGATCCTTTTCTCGGTGATTTCTTATGGACGTCTTTTCTTTTTTCTTTCCTTTTCTGTTAGATTGTAAACTCTTTGAGATGAAGAAAACTGGCTGCTTTATTTACAGTATTGGGTAAATATACATAAGGTATTTATAAAAGTTTATAGAAGGGTAATAATGGTTTTATAATCAAATTTCAATTGACTGGGGCATATTAGTAAAAAAAAAAAACAAAACAAAACTGCACAGACCGGAAGAGTTCTCATTCATTCCAGGAGCATGCTGGGTTTCATAATTCTGGAGAAATGTTCACTAGATGAATAAAATTACTTTGCAGAACAGGAAAGTATGGGGGTGGAAGGCATGCTGGAGAAAGCCCCACAGGATGAAAAAATCTATGACATCTGCCTACTGTTCAGGGACCACAGATGTGTGCCCCGTCTCAGAGTGCACGGAAGTCCTCACTGTTAGGACACTTCATTTCATAGGAGCCGCGTCCAGGGGGTTCTGTGAGGCCATGGGGCACCAGAATCTACAGGGAGGGTGGGGAGCGGGCATATGTAGGGATTCAACTCAGGGCCTCGAACATGCTAGGCATGAGCTGGCCATCCCCTTAGCTCTCCCCACAGACCCCCTGGAATACCGCTAACAGCTGAGCCTAAACTGGGCGGGTGGGGTGACTGATGTCATAATTGCACTCAGACACATGAAACCACTTAGGAATTTTCCAAGGTGAGGAAAAGTGGGAGGAAACCAGAAAAAAAGTGAGAGAAGTTCCAGACAGAAGGCCATTTGCTGATGCTGCGGTACATTTTTCTGGTGTCAGATATTTATCTTCCACTAGGAATATCTCCCTCCAGCACACAGCGATGGAAATACAGCTCGGCAATGTGGAGGTTAGTGAAAGGTTTGTCTTTAATAAAGCACTGAAATGATTTCCTTATGGTTGAAGGAAGACAAGACTATTCTTTGGCTTGAAAAAAAAAGGAGCATGTAGAACTGTAAGGAGAATTCTTAGGTTTTGTAATTTCCTTTAAAAAAAAAAAAGTAACAACTGACTCTGAATGAACACAGTAGCTTTATATAAAAGATTATCAAGCAGAACTGGAGTCTTGGAAATTTTAGCCCCATTGACTTCAATTTTCTGGATTAAGGCCAAATGAAAATATCTTCCTTATGGGTTAAGAAGAAAGGGTCTGGGTTCTCGATTTTAGCTTATGTAAATGTATGCACTGTTTTCAGGAAGGCAACTATATTCTGTTTTAATACTCAGTTGTTCTCTCTGTGTTCGGACTCTGAATGAAATGCAAGAGGGTATCTATTTTCATATTCCAGGAGATGGCCCTTTATTTCTTCTGGGAAACAGTTCAGCTCAAATAAAATGAAGAAGTCACACTCTGATTTCTTTAGGACCCTGCGGGATCTACTTACTCGTTCTCCTTTGGGACCTGCAGGGCCATGGGGTCCCATAGGGCCATCTGCACCCTAAAAAAAAAAGACAAAAATGAGACAAGATGTATGCTATCTTATGGCTGCAGGAAAAAGCAGTTCTAATTTATCCCGGACATTTTCCTGGGTGAACAGTGCCTTAGGATTAAAGCAACTCATCTCCTTTCAAAGATTTTTTGTCAGACTTGATGCGTTCAGGCTAGCAGATTTCAAGAAACACATGCAAAGGGAGGAATTATGTCTCTGCATATTTCAGCAAAGGACAAACAAATAGCTGCAGATCACAGCTAATTATCTCTCCGTTCCCCACCCAACAGGAACCTCTTCACTCCACCTCCAGATTGTTAAAGAGAAAAACGCTGCTTTTCCTTCACATCGCCTCTGCTTTGCATCCAATGCCTCACACACTTCCTCTTGCTGTGGTCACGGGGGCTCAGAAATTGTATTTTCCTCAATTGAAGAGGCAGAAACAATGGGGGGAGGGGAACTTTATTAAGTGAGAATGGTGTTCCAACCCAACTTCCGTTTTACTCGGAGTGGGAGGAAGTCAGTATTCAGACAGGTTCTGCTCAGCGGCTGAAGTCACTGGGTTTGCCAGCATGAACCAGGCAAAGCTGGGTTAATGTCCCAATTGCCCTCGGCCCTCCCGGTGCAGGTGAGGGTGTCTGGCTGATGCAGTGTATCTGAAGGAACAGAGGAAGTGGCAGGGAATAGAACCTTTGCCTAAAACTGCCTGATTGATTTTTTAAAATTTATTTATTTATTTATTTTTGGGTCATACCTGGCGATGCACAGGCGTTACTCCTGGCTCAACCACTCAGGAATCACTCCTGGCAGTGCTCGGGGGACCATATGGGATGTCGGGAATCAAATCTGGGTCGGCTGCATGCAAGGCAAATGCCCTACCCCCCTGTGCTATCACTCCAGCCCGATTGATTTATTTTTTAAAAATTGAAGTGCTTGGAATTTGAGAATCTTTAAAATGTAGCAAGCACTTTAAGAACCTTTGCTCATTTTCAGGAAGACAATGCTTCAATAATACTGGTGAACGTAGCCCATTTAAAAAGTTCTTTCTACTTCAGTTCTATTTTGTTTACTCGATTTCATAGGGCCTTATAATAGAAAAGAATTCATAAACATATTTTACTGATCATGAATTCTCATCGCCTTAATGACTGATGTGTATATATATATATATTTTTTTTTTTGACTGCCTGAACTTAGAGTTTGTCTTCAGAGGATTTCTGAGTACTGTGTATCTGAGGTCAAAATCTAAGAGAAAAAGCCGTCAAGAACCAAAGAAAACAGACAAAATAACAGAAGACAGACAGTCATTGTGATGAACAGAGATTTGGAAGTTAGTTCCAAGGAAGAAGGACATTCCAAGAGATGGACATAAACATAGAGGGGAAAGCAAGTGAAACCCATCCGTCTGCTTCTAATCCCTTCAGAGGCCTTTAATGGAGCCACAGGAAACTAGTGCTGGTGGGACCATTTATCTGGGGGTGTGAAGCAACAGCGTACTCAGCCGTGGCTGCTGACCAGAACCTGGGCTTCAGAGAGAAATTCTGCAGAGCAGGCTGGACCCAGAGCTGCAGGCCATGCTCACTTCCCTGTCCGGCTGACTCTGGGTCCATTTTCCCTCCTCTTTCCAGCCCCACGGACCCCTCATGCGAGGGGGCTATGTGGCATACAAGGTCTCTCCCGGAGTACAAACTTCCAAGCTGCAGAACACGTGGGAACAGGACGGACTCACCCGGGATCCTGGCTTTCCGTCTAAGCCAGATGCTCCCTGCGTGGTGATTGGGTTGTAGCAGGGTTGGTATGACACAAACGACAAGAACAGAGATTAGTATGAGGCACCAATGCACAAATGTAACAATTCAAACGACATCATAGGCAGTCATGGGCTCTGGGATGAGTACCACATCACCACGAAGTGTTAGTTAAAAAAACAACACGTGACAATTGAATAGCGACTGGTCACAACAGTGACCAACAAGTGATGGGCATTGAAATGGTACTTCTGTTTGAGAAAACGGTACTTAGGGGCCAACGTAATGAGGTTTATAAAACGGAATTTAAAGTAGTTCCTGGTAATTCACAGACTTCTAATTTTCATATGATAAATATTTTTCCTTTCTGAGATTTATTAAGACTACTAGTCCTAGCATTGATCTGACGGTTCTGAAGAAAAAAAAATGGCCGATCTCCTAAGAAAAAGATCATTATAGAAATAAACCAAAGTTACATATTAGATTATATTTAGGTGTTTGGTTGGTTAGAATATCATTTGAGTATAACAAATGCAGAACTTATATACATGCCAGGTTGACTGTACATTTGCGGGAAATGTATTGTTTTCAGACTGGTTTAAATGACAATATCTTTTATCACCACCAGAGGGAGGGCTAGGATCAGAAAAAAGTTAGAAAACTTTCCAAGCCCAAATAAAATAACTGTCCCAAACAAAATTGTTCCTCAACTAATTCTTGCATCAAAGTCTGAATGGGAGATGCCTGCAGATCTAATGTTCTCAGGCAATGTGCCAACGTGTGCTTTTCTTAACCTTGAACTCTGGGCCACTCAGAGAATGTGATTCGAAAATGACATTTTGAATGCTTGTAGGATTAGGGCAGATTGATTCTTTGAAATGGCCTTTTCAATTGTAAAATCCAAATGAGTATTTACTTTTTTAAAAAATATTTATCAGGCTGAGGAGCATTTAACAAAAATCATACACTGTCCCCCTTTCAGAATTATTTTCTTGTTATATGCTTGTGATATAGATAATTGAAATGGAAGGAAGATTCTCTTCCAGTTGCAAACTCTACCAATGATGCAATATCACATAGATCTAAGGGTCCTTTTAGTTATTTTGAAACTTTCTTCTGTCTAACCCTATTGGAAGTTATACTACAATGTCAAAATATATCTTTCTGTAGCAATGATTAAACAATTAAAAAATGTACGTTGTGTATTTAATGCTGGCATATATGAAGAACTTTTAGCTCAGTGATGCACAAAAATTATCCTTAACCCTAAATCATAAATTAAGACAAATTAGGGTTTATATAAAATTGAAATCTACTCTTTCTTTGGTCTTTTGATATTTCTTCAGTCTCCATTGTTACAACATTTAAAAATAAATAGGGAGATAAGAAAAATTCTGAAATAATATAATATATAACATTTGATATGTAGATACTATAACATTTATGTTATCTAATATTATAGATAATATAATTTTATCTAGAATGAAAATTATTAACTCAACTATCTTATTAGGGATTTTATGTCTGTGGTCCATAGATCAAATCATGGACATTTACTCCATGACACGAGTGGCTAGTAGAAGGAGCCAAGGCTGACCTCACCCTGTCAAAGTGGCCAAGTGCATTCTGCTTTCAACATAGGGTTATGGGCTTGGGTGTCAAAGGAGGGAGAAAAACAGTGGAAGCATGATTGTATTTTATAATTTATTTATTGATTTATTTATTGTTTGGGGACCACACCCTGCGGGGCTCAGGACTTACTCCTCGCTCTGTAATCAGGGATCACGTGATCCTGGCGTGCTCAGGGGACCATTATTTTGGGACTCAAACAAAGGTTGGCTTTGGTGCTAGGCAAGTGGCCTACCCACTGTACTATCTCTTTGGCCCCTCTTGGTTTTTAGTCCACAGCTGATGGTTTTGTGCTTGGGGGACCATATGTGGTGCCATGGGCAAGGCAAGAGAGGGCCTCAGCGCCTGCACTATCTCCCCTGAAGGAGATCTAACTGTCAATGACACTAAATGATACAAAGCTCTGGGAGAAATGCTGAGCTTGTCACCATCATACTCTTTGGCAGGGCAGAGAGGGGAGGTAGTGCCAGCGTGAATGGAATGAAGTACGTTCAGAGAAAGGCCACGGCGTTGGTCCTCACGGACCCTCTGCTGATACCAGAGCAGGCAGTGGCAAACGCCAGGCCCAGCGCCGCCCCAAGAGCCTCTATTTTCCAAAGACAGAAATCCCACAAGTGAGATGAGGAACCAGAAGAGGCGTGAGAGAGAAAGGCTGAGATCGGCACTGAAATGGAAAGGCTACTTACTGGAAGACCAAGGGGTCCTCTGTCACCCTTTGGACCCGGGTCACCCTTCAATCCTTTAACACCATTTAACCCTGGTTCACCCTAAATGCAAAAGCAAATGCCAATTTTGGTTTCTCTCAGGGGGTTGGGCTCCGAGAGGAGAGAGCTGGGTTTCAGAGAGGCTGACACACTCCAGTTTTCAGAACAGCAGAGTCAGGCTAGATCTGCCTTGCCATGGTTTAAGAAGTAATTTAAACATCATGGAATTAAATAAAAATTCAAATCGACGGGTTGCATTCGAGGAAGAAAAGAACATGAAAGCGTGCTGCTGACAGTCAGAATATTCCGACTGAGTTCCTGAATGAGTTTGAGCTCCAGGAAACTGGAGTAAAGTTCCTTGGTTCTCACCAAACAAATCAGAGACGGGGTAAAATAAAACAAGGGGAGGAGGTTGAACGAGTTTCCATAGGCAAAACCTACTCTGCTGGGATGGAAAACTGGAATATGCAGGGCAGGGTCGCAAACAGATATTTTAAGCCTTTAAGCATGTTGCCCAGGGAAATGAACTGAAAATGTAGCTGTTTGAAGCCAGGCCATGAAGCCTCAGACACTGGCTGTCCAGGTAGGTCCAGAGGTAGATCAGTTGGGGGTGGGGTGGGGGAACATCACAAATAGCGCCATCCCAGAAAAGTCTGTAAAGATCAAAGTTTGACTGTTTTTGGTTTTCTTTTGTTTTGGGATCATACCTGGTGGTGCTCAGGGCTTACTCCTGGCTCTGTACTCAGGGATAGCTCCTAGTGGTGCTCAAGGGACCATAAGGGATGCTGCGGATCGAACCCAGGCAGCCAGGTACAAGATTAGCGCCATCCTTGCTGTGCTACAGCCCAGCCCCAAAGTGATGCTTCTTAAGCAGAGCCAGAGACCCCCCTGACAGCAGTAGTGCAGGGATTTTATTTTTTAATGGATTTATCACCATTTTTTTCACAACATCATAAAATTTCAGGGGTCTTACCTCACAGGCCTTTCTGATTTTAGCCCCCATTGTCTTCTCTCTCTCTCTCTCTCTCTCTCTCTCTCTCTCTCTCTCTCTCTGTCAGGGGCAACTCCTAGTTCTGAGCCTGGGGGCTGCTCCTGGGTGCCCGGGGGAGCACGCAGTGTCGGGCATAGGTCCTTGGGTGCTTCCATGCAAGGCATGAGCTCTGCCCACGGAGCTCTCTGACCCAGCAAGGGGGCTGCAAGAAGTTTTCCCCCTCCTTTCCCCAGGGCTACTTCTCCTTAGGTAAACAGAGCCTGACCTCTCTATGGAATCATGCGATTTTCTCATCCAGCCACATAGCTGACTCAGGCTCTCCCTTCTGACCCCCAGGACAATTTCATACAACAGATCATGCCCCCAGGCTCTGAGACAGTCTCCCTCCTGGCCTTACTGATAGGGAGGGGTTTGGGGAAGAATTAAGAGACAGGAACTCTTCACCCATCAGTAAGGGAAGTTCAGGTTTGCATTGCCCCCAAATGGGGACCAAGGCAGGGAAGCAAAGGTGTCAGGGCCTGGGAGGGGGCGACTTCCTCCAGGCCTGTGACCCTGGCACCATCCTACATTCATGTGGTCCTCAAACCCTCATCTTTTGTTTTTTTAACTTTTGGTTTTCAGGTCATACCGAGAGGTGCTATGCACTCAGGGATCACTCCTGGCAGTGCTCGGGGGACCCGATGGGCTGCCGAGAACAGCCGCATGCCAGACAAGCATCCTACTTGCTGTACCATAACTCAGGCTGACCCTGTTTTTAAATGCTGTGTCCAAGGCTGAGACTCTTAGAAGCAGCCTTTGAGCTTCTCTCAAGCAGCAGGACAAATTAAATTGCTCTGTTCACAATGAAGCACCAGATCCCCCAAGCGACAAGGGCAACGACTGGGTATTTATCAATGACTGTGTCTGCCCTTCGCTAGATGTTTTGAGTGCGCCTCAGTTGTCCATTACAATACTCTGTGTAGCCGAGCAACCGAATGGTCAGCTGCTGCTGGAACATGGAGTATCAACGACCCTGCTGGTCTCTCAGGCTCATTCCCACCCTCCAGACAACTGCAGGGGCCAAGTACAGCCTGTTACTTCCACCTGGAAGGGCTTGGTCAGTTGAGCCGTGGGCGCTAGTGGGCGCTAGTGGGCGCTAGTGGGCGCTAGTGGGCGCTGTGATCCAAGAGCAGCACGTGTGGGGACCCCCACCTCAGACCTCCTTTAGATGTGGGTGAGTCCAGGCATCTCCAGGCTTTTCTAATGGGCAGCAGATGCAGAACAAGAGTCCGTGCTGGTCTGAGAATCCCATCAGAGTCCCTTATGCATGGGGTTCTATCATTTGTAGGAATTTTCAAAAAAATACACACTGACAAGGAAAAAAACCAACAAAATGAGGAGTAATTTCTCTCCAGGTGCTATCACTTAAATTTGTCATAAGTCATCCTGTGTCGTGAGATTCAAACATCTGGGTGCTTAAAGGCTTAAAGACGGTTAGTGTTACTTGACAAATAAGTAAGACAGGACAGACATGCTTCTGTCATGCGTCTCCACAATTCACAAGGAAACAGAAATCGAACCGGCAAGAGGTGTGGGGCATTACCTTTGGTCCAGGAAGTCCGTGGGGTCCCTGGGAAGGAGAAGCACAGCTTGTAATTAAGCAGAAGTAATAGAATGTAAAGTAACACAAAGAGATAGGAAACAAGAATCTTTTCTGTTGGGCTATCAGGGGATGCTAAGACTGTCTGGACGTTCCAGCCAGCTCTTGCACTGCTCTGGAAGAGGAAAGTCATGGATAGAAATGCTTTCTGCTAAATACAAATGAGAGGGGGAGGGAGGAATGTGCCATGGTTTTATGGAAGAAAACACACACACACACACACACACACACACACACACACACGCACACACGTATTATGAACTTCCACTGCTTCTACTACTCAAATTCCTATTTGTGTGAGATTAACTAGAGACTGCAGTTGTGGGTCGAGGCTAAGACCGGTCACAGCAGGGGGCGCTCTTTCCTAAGGAGCAGAAGGGGCAGAGGCTCCCTCAGTTTACCCGGCTGGTGGTCGTGAAGACCTGGGGGTGACAGTGACGGCGCACCTGCTTCCCTCAGCGCTAAGGTGGGCTCTAAAGGCACCAGCTGGTGAGAGACTGGTGCTCGGAGACTCACACTCTCTAGGGCCTCCCACACTCCTCAGAAATCCCCTGCACCGCCCCCCCGCCCCCCCCCCCCCCGCCTCATGCTAATGCTGAATCTTCTAATGCACCAAAATAGTGCAAAGAAGATCCACCAATACATTATGATTGGCAGAGAGCTTTCAGTTAAAATCAGTACTTCCTACCTGTTTTTATTGGACATTTTAACTCAGGACATTTTATTCCGGCAGGTTGGATTCATTCATGAAAGGGGGCCAGAGTGATAGTACAGTGGGTAGGGCATTTGCCTTGCACATGGCCTACCAGGGCTCAATTTCCGGCATCCCATATGGTCCCCCTAACATCGCCAGGAGTGACTCCTGATTGCAGAGGCAGGAGGAACCCCTGAGCAACGCCGGATGTGACCCAAAAAGCACTCCCCCCCCAAAGGAATCATTCATCAAAGCCCACAGTTTACCCTCTTCCTCTGCCGTGGACAGTCTAGAACAGAGACACCTTCCCTTTTCCTTTGTTGTAGCCTTACAAGTGGTACTCAGGGGTCGAGGGACATCTCCCAGCCACCCTGGCCAGCTGTCAGGACAGCTGTAGCCCCTGTCTGTGTGCAGTGTTCAGGCCTGGTGGTGCCGGAGGCCGGCAGTGCTGGGGGGAAGCGGGGGCCGTGGGACAGAACTTGGGGCCCTGGAATGCAGCACGCATGCCTCTGGCTGCCCTGCTACCTGCCCCCAGAGTGGTTTCCCGGTGCAAGGCTGGGGTCAGGCCTGCTGGGTCGCTCTTTGGAGCAGATGTTGGACGGGTGTGAGTATCCTACAAGGCCAGTGGGCCTGCGGGCACCACCGTGGGGAGCGGTAGAAAGCAGGGGAGGGGGGTGAGCGCCAGGTCTGTGCTCTCTGCTGTCAGACTCAACCCCAAACGGTGCGATCTGGGAGAGAAGCCGACTTACCATGGGTCCTGGGGGTCCATGGGGGCCCGGTGGTCCTGGGGGTCCGATGATCTGTGAGTGCAGGAGACAAACATGGTTTGGGTCACTTCCTGCAGGTGAGCTGGGGCTGAGGTGGGGCTGAGTCCTGCTAAGGCCACCGCTAGTGGCAGAGAAGGAGAACTAGGAGAGAGGTGTTGGACTTCACCCCTATGCGGAAGCTCCCGAGGAGAACCGCAAAACTGAAAAAACACACCCCTGCTCAACAGAGGCCAGAGGGATGGAAACACAGTAAGAGAAGAGAAGGCCACTGACTATCAAGAAACACTATCACATCACAACCACTAGGAAATCCACCATTTTTTCCTTAAGTAACAACAGTGCTCTAGAGAAAAAAAAAATTTTTTTTTAAAGGGTGTGTGTGTATACCCACACACATCATGGAAAAATCAGATTTTTCTCCTCAGAACTTAGATGGTTCCCTGCAAAACTAGAGGCTAGACCTCTAACAGGGTTTCTCTCATTGTGAGAAACCGACAGTTCCCCACTCAGCTCCACAAACCAGGTGGTTTCCAGCTTCCTCCTGCAGGTAGCCCTCCAGCATTGCCTATGAGGTTAAAAAAAGGGGGGGCATTTCAAGGACTTCAAGGGATTACAAAGAGCAGACACAGTGGACTTACGGAAGGGCCCTGAGGACCGGGCAGTCCGGAGTCACCTTTCTCTCCCTTCATGCCGTTGGCGCCCTACAATGACCAGAAAGAGAAGTGAGTGCAAGAAGTAATGGAATTTTCTCCAAAGTCACCCCGCCCTCTAGAAGCTTCTACCATCATCTGCATGTGACACCAAATGAACAATTTACCTCCTGCGCTTTATTCAAGCAACAAACACCCCAAATCCCCAGGATGGTGGGCGATATGGCAGATAACATTTAAAATAAATAAGAACTAGCTTAGCCTTGTTCCGTTAAGCTTACAGTGTTAAATATATCAGGTTATAAATATTGGATTTTTTTTTATGGTGGAGCTCACTTTAAATAGCAAAGGTCAGGCTTTCATTGACATTTATTTGCGCATTTCCTTGCTTTAAAAAGTAGAACAGTGAGATTTTCTACAATATTTCATTATATTTTCTACTCCAAATTCTCTGCTAAATTTATAGCAGAAAATTATAAAATCGCTCTCCCATGGTATCATAACCATGACAATTAACTTGTTTTTAGAATTTTTTTTAAAAGAATCCTTTTTATTAATTTAAAGTATGGCTTATTTTTAAATGGTCAGTTACCACTATCTACACATGCTAAATTAAAGTGATCAACTACATTCCCTTTATTTTTTTTTGGTATGGGAATCAAGGAAACTGTGATTGATTTATAAATTCATTGGCTAAGTGATCTAAAACTTATTTTTTTAGTGCCCCAGACTCGTTTTAGAGCCAGCTCCCCAAGTAAGTGTGTGAGAGGCAGAGAGAGAGCTCGCTGAGAGTTTTACTTTTACTCTTTTAGGACCATTTACTCTTCAGGACCAGAGGATGAGACGCAACTAATGCCTCATCGGATGATTTAGCTAATCCAACTACGAGCATGCAAAGGATGAAAGTACCGGTAACCCGGGCAGTCCGATCCCTCCTTTCTCCCCGGGCACGCCTGGGTCCCCTACGTCTCCTTTGGAGCCTTTGAGTCCCTGAAACGAGATGGCTGCATGAGAGAATGACCCAATGCTCCACAGGTCCTAGAGGGAAACACAATTCCAGGCCACATTTGTGACCTCACTGAGGTGATTCTGATTGTCATTCTGAAGTGATTTTATGTTTTGGATTGTGGGCCAGACCTGGAGGCACCAAGCAGGTCATCCTCGTTCTGTGCTCAGGAGCGAGCTTTGGTATGCTCAGGGAAACCATAGGTGGTGCCGGGATTCACACCAGGGTTGCAGCTGGCACACCTGCATGAAAGGCCAGTGCCTCACCTCCTGCACTGTCTCCCTGCTTGAAGTAGAGTCACTATTTCTTCTAGCAATCTTCAGCACTGTCAACTCTTTCCTAATGCATCAGACGCATGCACCCTCACCCATCACACTGCAGCCCCAACCCCATCAGCTGCTTCTCTCTCTCTCTCAATTCCTCCCCCTCTTTCTCCCTCCCTTGCCTTCCCTCCCTTATTTTCAGTGCCCCAGAGTCATTTTCCAGCAATATCCCAAATAAATATGTGTGAGAGCTTCCTTCTTTTCCTTCCTTTTTTTCCCTCCCTCCCTCCCTCCCTCCCTCCCTCCCTCCCTCTCTCCTTCCCTCCCTCCCTCCCTCCCTCCCTCCCTCCCTCCCTCCCTCCCTCCCTCCCTCCCTCCCTTCCTTCCCCTTTTCCTCCCTTCCTTTCTGTCTTCCCTCCCTCCCTCCTTCCCTCCCTCCCTCCCTCCCTCCCTCCCTCCCTCCCTCCCTCCTTCCCCTTCCTTCCTTCCTTCCTTCCTTCCTTCCTTCCTTCCTTCCTTTCTCCCTCCATTATTTTTTGTTTTGGGGCCACACCTGGCAATGCTCAGGGCTTACTCCTGGCTCTGCACTCAGGGATCACTGCTAGCATGCTCAGGGGACTCTATGGGATGCAAGGGATTGAACCCAGGTAGGCTGTAGGCAAGGCAAGTGCCCTCCCCACTGTACTATCTTCTTTAATTATCTTGCAGTGTGGGGAATGGAATTAAGGGTCTCATTCTTGCTAGGAAATGACCCACCACTAGCTAATAATCCCAATCCTGCCTTCGGTCTTTTTAAGTAAAGTTTACCAAGCTCACGTTGGCAGAGACTGCCATAGTCTATGATGCTCATGTGCTGGTTCCTACCTTTTCTAAGACTAGGAAATCAGGCATTTAAATTTGGGAAACCAGCAAATAAAACAGCATTGCCAATAATACCAGCATGCAGTACTTAATTGGTGGGAAACTATGGTCAGAGATTTTTAACCATGAATTAAATGTATCCACAGTTCAAAAGATCAGACTCTTCCTTCAAAATCAATGATGATCTTACAAGTCTATTTTTCATAGACTTGTGGTATGCTGAGGTGTATCATGATGGAACAAAAGCATCAGACAGTTTCTACATTTCTGCCAAGAAAATCAGTGTTTAAATTCAGTTGAGTTTCAGGGTTGGCAGAGTAACTGGAACAGAGTACTTGACAACAGAGGAGGACACATATCAACACTCACTCTTTAGCTTCAAACATCTAGAAACCTGATAGGCAATGCGGCTTAAATAATGCCCCAAACAGCATATATCTCTCAAAATCACCTGCTCTCCATCAGCTCCTGGGATACCTGGAGATCCGGGCTCTCCCTGGAAAGAATAAGAGTGAAGACTTGTGTCTGGTTGTCACTGGTTACACCCAGGTTACATTCTCTACCAAACACAAAGGATGCCAGCGGCAACAGGACAATCCAGATGTTCAGCAAAGGCATAGTAATCCAAAAGCACATTTAGATATAGCATATCTAAACTAAGTGAAATAACATTTTATTGAATATTACATTTATATGGAGTAAGACTCAGAGTTTTAATTTTTTCTGCATGTGAGATACAGACTATAAAACATTGGTGGAGGGGAAAAATGAATGCAAATCATTTGATGATTGACCCATAAACCCTAGGAACAACGTATAAGTAACACTTGACTAGTTATTTTTTCTCCTTCTCTATAGCTCCTCTTATTTCCAAAGTTGAGGGGGAAAAGTCACAGTTCAAAAGTGCAATGTTCCATAAATTTACAGCATTTTATTTTTTTATTTTGGTTTAGGGGCCACACCCAGTAGCACCCAGGGTTCACTCTTGGAGGTGCTCAGGGGATTGAATATGGTGCTGGGGATTGAATGCGGGCCAGCTGAATGCAAGGCGACTGCCTTAGCTCTGATCCGCCAACAATGTTTTGAGTGACCCCATTTGAACAGTGGATACAAATTAACACTTATGAATGTGCCATTTCTAGACAAGCTCACTGAAAGACAGAATAACATAAAAAGATTTTGGATCAATTCAATTTTTATTCTATGCTAAAAAATTAAAACTTACTATTTATATTGGGCTGGAGTGATAGCACAGTGATAGGGCGGTGAGAGTATCTCGCCCTCAGGGCAAAGCCTGGCAAGTTACCCATGATGTGTTCAATATGCTAAACACAGTAACAACAAGTCTCACAATGGAGACATTACTGGGCTTGCTTGAGCAAATCGATGAACAACAGGAGGACAGTGCAGTGCAGTGCTACTATTTATATTTTGAATCCTCAGAACCTTTGACAAAACTCAAGTGGATTTTTTTCCTTCCTTAACTGAAGACATTCCTTAAAAACCCATCTGAACAATGTGCTAGAGAAGTATTCAAACCACAAATGTTCAGTCACTTTTCAGCTGGAAAGGTACAGAATAAACAAATTATCTGAAAGGCAAGATATTATTTTATATAAACAAATCACTTCTGGAGATTGCATGATAAATACCCCTGGCCTTTATGAAGCTGCTCTCCTAGGTGAGAGTCATCCCTCTCACAGACAGATTTCCTGACTGGGGGCCCTATTTTTCTAGAAAGATTTGTTTACAGCTATAGACCCTCCCCCCTGCAATCCCCAGCATGAAATCTGAGCTTTTCAGTGTTCATGAAGGCAGAACAAACAAAGGAGGGTACATTTTAGCCCCTACTGCCTGCTCTTCGGCAGAGTCACGAAACTTGTCTTGCCATGAACACATCTGCTAAGGGTGGCTAACCTGGCTGAACCTCAGTTCCACTCAGGCTGAATCCTCCTCAGTGTTCTGCATCCAATCAGGGTTGTTTGGTGAAACTTTGACCTCCAGAATGTGAACAGGGAGTTTTAAAATGCTAAAAACAACAGCACGTAATCCAGGGGAGATCATTTATCCCTCACCCCTAAAATGTAAAGGGCTATTTGGGGTATAAGAACTTCAACAGCCTTGTTAGAGAAAGGAAGCAGAGATGCTCATGGAATAGCTCCCCACTCCCAACCCTGCAGAAGGGAAAGGCTTTTGTCATAGCCTCATGTCACCCTCATACCCCACCTGCTCAAGGACAGACCAAGGAAAGCAAAAGGGCATCCCTGACAAATCCAAGGTCTCATTGACAAGACCATGGGGCCCAGGCAGTGCAATTTAGCATCAGGGAAGGAAGATGGGTCACAGGAACCCCAGCGCTCACCTCACCCCTCTAACTACCCAGCCAACTCCCCTACCTTAACATTCCAGCTTCGCATCACTCCTGGCCCCTGCCATGGACACAACCAGGACACAAGCTCCTGTGGATCTCCTGAGGCTCCCTCAGCCCACTCACAAGGCCTCAGGCTCTCTGATGGGCCTCACTAGCTTTTGGTTCATTAGACACTTAGCCCCGGGTTAAGGCTCACATGCGCTACTTATTGAATAACTATTAATACATGAACTGTGGCTGGATTATAAGGTAGGGGGCTCCAAGGATTATAAGATGGGGGGCTCTGTCGGACCTTCCCTCTGCCCTTTTGTGTCACTTTTGGTCAACAGACAGATATCTTTGGATTTATCTGGGTTTTAAGGAAGAGCAAAGCCCTAGAAACTCTTTATTTTATTTTATTTTTGAAAATGATCATTACTTCTCTAGAGGGGTCTCTCCCTGGGATACCCCAGTGGTGTTGGTGGTACTCAGGGGCCATGTGGAGTTGGATATTCAACTCAGGGTTTCACAGAGGCCAGGCACATGCGCTACCTCAGAGCCCCCAGCCCCAGTCCCCTAGAAACTGAGATGTGTAGAGGGCACTGAAGATAACTGACTGAGCAGACTGGGCATTTGGGAGAGGAAACTTGATCGTGGATGACTGTACAGAGGAACCAAGAATCTCAGTTTCCTTCTAGGTTGTCTAGTCCAGCTCACTAAGAGAGTGAGGCCAGTTGTCCCTGGTCTGCTCACCAGGAATGACAATGGTGCAGGCCGGGACATTTCCGTCTTCTCTCTCTTAGGGACCAGAGTATGTCGTGGAAATAAAAATTAAAAAATTCCCAAGTCTCACATTAATGTTACACAGGAAATGTGTTTGACATTAGCATCTGCTCTAAACATGTTTCATATACATGAGGAATGTAGCGATATTTTGGTTTACGTTCATTTTCGTAATAGAAAAACAACGATTCTATGTGTTGGTTTTCTGTTTTTAAGCTTCTTGAAAGAGTAAAAAGCTGAGGGGTGTGTGTGTGCGTGTGTGTGTGTGTGTGTGTGTGTGTGTGTGTGTTTGGGTAGACAGACGTAGCAAATAAACTGTCTTAAGAAGCATAAACAAAAGTTGGATTTCAAAACTGCTTGAATCTCCTACAAAAAAACCAATGACGAAAGTCACATTTCAACATGTGTAGCTCAATCCTGAAAAGCCAGTCTCTGGATAAGTGTTAATTGATCAAATATGTCTGAAGAGTCAAGGTTTTGTTTGGAAGGATGGAGAGAACCTCATCACCAAATTTTAGATACAATCAAGTTTTTGGTTTCTACTGTTCATAGCTGGCATGTTAGATAATACTTAAACGGCAGAGTGCCTGAATATATATGAACCTCTATAACAATCTGTTATCTGTCATGGTCCTCCCGTTATTCATCGATTTGTTCGAGCGGGCCCAGTAACATCTCCATTGGAGACTTTGTTGTTACTGTGTTTGGCATATCGAATACATCACGGGTAGCTTGCCAGGCTCTGCCGTGCGGGCAAGATACTCTCAGAAGCTTGCCAGGCTCTCCGAGAGGGGCGGAGGAATCGAACTTGGGTCGGTCATGTTGACTGCGTGCAAGGCAAACACCCTACCACTGTGCTATTGCTCCAGCCCAACAATCTGTTATAAAAATGACTTAAGAAGGATTGCTAAAACTGCCATTTATGAATGCATCATGGAAAAGTGACTTACTCTCTTAATTACAAAATAATTGCAGGGAAGAGCTTTTTTGGGTCAGACAAAATTTTCTTTAAACCTCTATTTAATTTTATTTTTTCATCATCATGGTTAGTGCTTGTTTGTACTTGTAAGCTAACATGTTTTTACCTTGTTTAATATTCTCTATTCTTTTAAATGTCCTCCCTTTAATTTAATACTATACTTTTCTCCTTCATTCCTAATTTTAATTATCTTTTGAATTCTTTCAGCCTACCTCAGTTTCTACATTTGCAGCTCTCTTGGATTTATCTGCAGATCTCAGCTATTTTAGCATTTTAAATTACTGATTTTCAAAGCTTTACATATATATGTATACATATGTATATATGCATATCTATGTGTTTGGTTTTGGGGCCACACCTGGTGATGTTCAGGGCTTACTCTTGGCTCTTTATTCAGGGATCACTCCTGGTGGGGTTTGGGGGCACCATCTAGGATGCTGGGAATTGAACCCAGGCTGGTCACATACAAGGCAAATACCCTACGTGTTGTACTAATCATCCATTAGTACAAATTTTAATTTGCAATTCTCCGCATACGCTTAATGTACAATTCTCAGCATCAGTTGGTCAATGGTAGCAAGTAAGGTAAAGAGTAACCTTTGGTCCTTGTAGTCCTTGGGGTCCAGGTGGTCCGGGGGGGCCCTAAATCCAAAAGAGACAAAATTTTGATTAGTAGCAAGCGTTTGTATTGAAGCACCCAGCATGACTCTCACATTGCCCTGACAGTAATTCTTTAATGATGATTTGCAATGATGGAAATTTTCACCAGTTACAAAATTATAAAAACTACTTACTTCTATATAAAAATACCAATACATTAAGGTAAAAATAATACTGAAGATGCTTTTGAGTTGTTTTGTAAGATGATATAAAATTTCTGCTTTCCCCCTTTCATTTTGGGATGAATTAACCTTTGAATATTGCCCGGGTAAATAGATACAGCATCGTTTCTGCCATGAAGGGCTTGATTTTCCATATACCAAAGAATAAAGCTCTATTATTAAGATAAAGCAAAGATGAATGAAGAAAACACACTTTTCCCTTGACGCTTCAAAAACAGGGCCTACTCCAAGTGATGCTTGGCCATAGAGTTTACTGTTTGGGCCTGAGGGTCCCTGGGGGCATGCAGTGAACAGGGTGGGGAGATTAAACTAAGGGTCCTGTACTTGCCAGTCATGCACTTCACTAACCCAGTTAGCACCATGAACCTTTTCTTGACTTTTAAACTCAGCAAAAAAAAAAAAAAATTCAATCAGGGCAAATATTGTGAAAGGTCAGGAAGAAAAGAAAACACACAAAAAAGTATCAGGTGAAAAACAGTTGCTCTATTAGTGCCACCAGCACCAGCATGCATCAGCATCCAAACACAGCACAAACCACACAGATCATGCATTGGGAGTTACCGTGACAGTTAAGGTGGTAATCCTCTGTTGGGGAAATGTAGTGAGAAAGATAGAGTTACCTCTTTTGCGTGCCCAAGTACAATAATACAATTCTGAAAATATTCAATTTTTGGAGTATGTTTTGGCAAGTCTGTTATCTTGGAAGAATGGACAAGAAATTGAGTACACATTCTGCTATCGTCACATGAAGAAAACATAGCAGTGCCAAGATTTCAAAATTATTTTGAGGATTTTATTTAAAACTCTTTGGATGATGAAAAAAGAAACTCAAACTTTTATGCATCTGACTTAAGAAATGTGTAGTAAAATGCATACTAGATGTTTGGGGGGGTTCTGAACTGAGAAACTACTACTCACAAAAGCACTCCTCTAGAAAGGTTCAGTTAGAACAAACGGAAATCTCCAATTCTATCAGTAGAAGTTTCCCTCTTTCCCTTATTTATGCATCAGAAATAGTTGTGTGAATGTGTCTGCATGTGCCATAACTACAGACAGACATTGATGTATAATTCATTTAATTTCTTGGAAAAAAGTGCTAGAGCACATTACAGAATATAGAATCTCAAAGTATGAATCTACTGATAATCTGATCCCTACTCCATGAATCACTTTGTACTAACGCACGCGTGCGTGTGTGTGTGTGTGTGTTGCCAGGGACTGAACTCAGGGTCTCACATGCAAGCAAGCCCCTGTACCACTGAGCTACATCACTGGCCCCTGTATTAATATTTTCTAGCGGTAGGGCATTTGCCTTGCACGCAGCCAACATGGCCGACCCGAGTTCGATTCCTCCGCCCCTCTCGGAGAGCCCGGCAAGCTACCGAGAGTATCTCGCCCGCACGGCAGAGCCTGGCAAGCTCCCCGTGAAGTATTCGATTTGCCAGACACAGTAACAACAAAGTCACCAATGGAGACGTTACTGGGCCCGCTCGAGCAAATCGACGAACAACGGGAGGGCCTTTACCTTTACCTTTTAGCCTGAGTCTTGTGATAAAAGTTCTGTAGGTTCTATAACCACTTCACACTTCTTTGGCCCACCTAGTTTATTCTTCAGGAATTTGGCTGTAATGAGCTGGATTAAAAATTATGAAAAAACAACTTCTTTGCCACCGTGGATGGATGAGTCATTTATAAAAAAAAAAAACTATTAGAAAATAGTAAAGTAGAAAGTTTCCTGATTGTTGCTTTCCATTTTACAAACTGTTTTTAGTGAGAAAACAGAATCATACCCTTTAGAAAGGGAAATTTATTCTCCATCTAGAGAAAACTTGCTGTCTTCTTTTTTCATAACAAGGATAAAAGCATGTTTTGTAATCAGTTCTATAACTAAATACATTTATTAAGGTCACTGAACTAATAGGGTTAAAAGGATCTTGTTATAAGGGTTCATCTCAGTTATTCAATTGAAAAAAGAAGAATTTTCTTCACACAGGGCTCTTCCCAGCTCTGCCGCAGGGCCTTTGCTCACACCAAGGAGGTCTGAAGGGAAGGTTTCCTCTAGAGTTCTTGTAGCTGGGCCCCTGAGTGAGAACTTCCAAGCTCGGCAGGGCTCTCTCTATTTTGCTTATTTGTTCTGCTGTCACACGGGTGGTGCTCAGAGCTTACTCCTGGCTGGGCACTCAGGATTCACTCAGGGGACCAATGGGGTGCTGGGGTCTGAAATGGGTCAACTGTGTGCCAGGCAAATGCCCAACTCACTGTTGTGTTGCTCCAGCTGGAAGAGCTTTCTCTGGAAATCCAGATATGATTTGAACAGCAAGATCTGGGGTAGCAATGGAGAAAGACTCAGCGGTCTAGTGAGGCTGGGTATGTGGTAAAGGCCAGCCTGTGTGATCAAACTGCCTGTGGTTCATCCCCGAAATGCTTATGCAAGCTTCAGAGATGCCAAGGCTGTTTCTTCTTATTTCTCATAATGAGGCACACTTCAAATCACCCAATATTTACATTGGAGAGCAGTTTGGTTCAGCTGCACCTGATAATTTTTAAAATCTTGATTTAGGAAAATGAAGAGATTTTACCACTAATTGTGGAAACTTAACCACCTTAAATAAAAATCAATGGATTATGGAAGAAGTTTATGTAAATAACAATTTTTAGTAGAGGCAACAGTAACAATTTCTATTTCTAATATGATTATTTAATTCAGTTTTGTTGAGTTTTTTGGGCCACACCTGGTGGTGCTTGGGGGTTACTTAGGAATTGCTCTGGTAATGTTCAGGGGTCCATGAGGTACTGGGAATCAGACTTAGGTCTCTTGCTTGCTATGCATCTCCCTACTCTCTTGAGTGCTCTTTTGGGCCTCCGATGTTTTTTAAAAGTGCAATATGGTCCAATTTTTCCAATTTTCCTAGAATTTTAGCATTACAAAAAAGAGTAGGCCAGGAGCTGGAGAGATGGTCCAGGTGTCTAAGTGTCTGTCTGGTATCTGGACAACCCTGGTTTGAACACATGACACTATGTATGGGTCCTGGAGGACTGTCAGCATCACGTCTGAGCAGAGCCAGGAATAGCCATTGGGCACCTCTCGGTGTGATCTTACCCCTCACTCCCCCATAAAAGAGAAAGAGAAAAGGCAATAATGATATGAAACCAGCAAAACTGAAATCCATTATTTGTTGGAGAATTATAATGAACATCCATCTCTTCTCAGTTGAATGGCTACTTAATTTGATTATATTAGGAACTGAATCCACTAGAATATTGGCCCTCCCGTTGATCGTCGATTTGCTCGAGCGGGCCCAGTAACGTCTCCATTGGAGACTTTGTTGTTACTGTGTCTGGCATATCGAATACTCTCGGTAGCTTGCCGGGCTCTCTGAGAGGGGCGGAGGAATCGAACTCGGGTCGGCCATGTTGGCTGCTTGTAAGGCGAACGCCCTACCCACTGTGCTATCGCTCCAGGTAAAAATAAGATTTTGATTTTGGGGGAGGGTTTTGGATCACGACCGGTGGTGATGACAGATTACTCCTGGTTCAGTGCTCAGGAGTGATTCCTGGTGCTGCTCAGTGAAACACATGTGATGCCGAGAATTGAACTGTGATTGTCTGCAAGTAAGGCAAGAACTGTATCCCTGTCCTATCTCTCTAGCCTGGGCGCAAATAGTTTTTAAGTACAGACAAATAACTATGAACAACTTACAAGCACAACACATGACCTCTCTAACAACTAACCCCATAAAAAGAATCCACTTTTAGGATTATATTCATAAGATATAAAGATGAACTGGTTGCTGTGATGGTGTCATATGTCTATAGTCACAGAACTTTAGATACAACAGAAGGAGCGGGCAACCACCCTTTCATATCAAGAAACAAGAATAAATTTTTACAAACGTGTAGTGTATTTCAGCATATCAAAAAAGCGTTCAGGAACTGAAAATGATCCTGATAGATATTTTGATTTTATGGGCTCAGAGAAAAAACTATTCCCCAAACAACCCCCATTTTATAAATAAGACCAATAGAGTACAGACACATTAGGTGATTTCTCCCCACCCAAGTCTAGCTAGTCAGCAGCAGAGAAGAGGTTCAGAACATACTTTGGCTTCAGGCTAAGAGCAGCTTCATGCTTAGCTCTGTTCATACAAAGGACAGAAGATCCCAAAATGAAGGTTTTATTTTTATGAAAAACAACCCTGACCAATAGGATTGGAGCATTTCATAGAAGAGAAGGAGCCAGATGCTTCTACAGGCAATAAAACTGATGATATTGAGAGGTAAGAGGAAAATTTACAAACCAGGTAACGATGTTTAAACAGTGCCTATCTTTACTAAGAAAGAACTCTGAAAACAGAGTTGCAGCACCCAAAACTTGTTTTCTACCTCTTTCTCTCTTCCTATGCTTACTTAGTGTGTGTGGGAATAAGTTATGGAATAAGGGAGCAATGTAGCAAACTAGGCACTGAGCTTCACAACCGCTCTGGCAAGTGTCAGCATGGGATGCTCACTTTATTATTTTTTTTCTGCTTTTTGGGTCACACCCGGCAATGCTCCAGGATTACTCCTGGTTCTGCACTCAGGAATCACTCCGGCGGTGCTTGGGGGACCATATGGGATGACAGCAATCTAACCAGGGTCGACCGCATGCAAGGCAAAGGCCCTACCCGTTGTGCTATCACTCCGGCCTAGACTGCTCACTTTAGAGATGCATGTCTGCAAGCAGTAAAGGTGCTTCTCTTAGTGTTTTATCAGAAGGAAAAGAAGTGAAAGGAATAGAAAAACAGGTGGAGCTGAAGAGAGCTTCTGTAAAAATTGTTCTGTTAAAGTCTTCTTAGTTAAAAATGGTAGCAGTTACAAGGAACCCATCAGAAGGTAGACCTGCCATATTTAGAGGACTACAGTGAAATTAAAACTATAGGAAAAACTCAAATAAGTATAAGATGGCAAAGATTTAAAATAACTCAGTTTAAATATAATAACTGTCAAGTAAAGAAATGGCTTGTACATATGAGCTAAATATAGCCACTTTCTGAACTAATAGCAGTTTATGTAATATTTACAAGCCAGGCCTGTCTAAGGCATGCTAGGGTAATATGAAATAAGCATGATGTATGTTTGTAGACACCAAAAAGTAATCTGGTGAGACTAAAGACTAAATAAATGATGTGGCTGGAACACAATTACGTGTTAACTTTTGCAGCTTGACCAGTAGGATTTAAGGGATTCAGAGGCAGGGTACATCCAGGGGATGAGAGCGGGTTTAGACAGGTGGATGAAAGAGAGAAAAGAACACAATAAGCCAGGCAAAAAGAGGAAACTATTTTACTGACATGATAAATGACAATTGTAGGGGAAAAGGTGTGTTGTGCAGAGAAAGTTTAGTGAAGGAAAGGCAAGGATTACAGAGTCTTAAACGTCACATAGAGCAGGCTTGGTTTTGGCAATGAACTGACCGACCTGTGGCCAGGGAAGGCACAGAGCACGGGCAGGAGCACCAGAGAAAGGTTTAGTGCAGTGTTAGAGTGGAAATGGGAGAATGTGGAACTCCCTGGGATGGAGGGAAGGGTGCGACCTCAGACACACTGTGGAAAAGAAAGAGGCAGCTTTGGTCTGATATATTAGAGGCAGGACCGAGGACAGGTTTAACAGACCTTAAAAGTTTCGATGTAAAAGATTTCAAAGACTTAAGGCATTACTAACAGAAACGAGCCAAGGAAGGGAAGCAGGCTAGGAGGGAGCGGGAACCGGCAACATTCTATGTATTGATGGATGCGGAGAAGACAACAGAGGCTCCATAATGAATATATTCTCTTAAAGGTCGTGCAGATCAGAATTGAGAGGGAAGATGCAGAAGGCATCGCACAGATGAGCAGAGCGCGCGCTAGCCAGAGTGCAGGTGTCTGAGGCAGACAGAGTTAGAGGGGAAGTAAAGGCGACGGATTCAAGCCACACAGTGTAAGGGTTGCTCCTAACCAAAAGGGAAGAATGGGATTCTCGCAACATTGAGCCGACAGAGGACTCTCCCTGTGTCAAGCACTGTCCTAAGTGCTTACCAGCTGCTGATGCATTTGCACCTCTTCGTAACTCATGGGGCAGCTACTACATTCTCCAAACCCAGGCACAGAGGGGTTCAATAAGCAGCCCGGAGTCCGACGTTTAATAGGCAGAGAGCTGAGATTTGAGGGTGCACAGCTCCACCTCTTACAGGGCTTTTACCTGCTTCAGCAGAGTCCCCCCTCCCCAGGCAAGGACACAAGAGGTACACATGGTTCTGACGGAAGCATATTTGGAGGGAGATAGGAAAGACTGACAAGGACACACATTTGGACAGGGCTGGGGGTGGCTGGGCAGCTGCTATCTGTACACATCAGTGTTGCTCTTAGTGTCAGGAGGGGACGGTCACTTGCCTGCAAGGCTTCCTGGAGGTTGCCGTTGTAGTCGATGATCTCTGTGGCACCTTGATCCCCCTTTTGTCCGGGAGGACCCTAGTAAGAGGGAAAGTTAGGTTAGAATGGAGGGGCACCATGGGGAAATAGAAATATTAACTCACAACCATCCATTCCTGATTCTGACCCACTTGTACTCGAAGAATAAATGATTCTTCAAAGTTTGTCCTTATCACAAAGGAAACCAACCCCTTATAACTCCATGTTTGTGGTTGGTTAAAGGTCTGAAATCTTATTAAAAATATATATGATTTGGGGTTTGAGTTATAGTGCAGCAGGTAAGGCATTTGCCCTGCATGCAGCTGACCCCAGTTCAATCCCTGGTATCTTACATGGTCCCCCAAAGCACAAACTTCAGAAAATTACTGATTTGAGTTGCAAAACTTCTGCTGCCTTTATTCACATTTACTCATGCAACCTCTAACCTATTTCCCTCTGTACTTCATTGGCCTCACCTCACTCTTTAAGAACTTAAAACACATTTTGTAGACCTGACTTTCCCAGTGAGAATATAATTTAATTAAAATTATGACAAACAGGGAACAAAAAGAATATCTCTATTTAGGAATCCAAATATCTATACATATGCACAATATATATTTAATATATATCACCAGTATATATTTGAAACACATATCTTACTCATTTGCTCTATTAATTTCAATGATCACATTCTAATTTCTTGCCTGGGATTTTAAAAGGCTCTGAAAATATGGATCAATGTAAGCAGAGTGTAAGATAGAGTTCTTTAGTCCTTCTCCTGGAGTCAGTTTTTACATATCCATAAGGACGTACATGCTCCCTGATGTTGGGGTCTATGTTAAAAATAATATGACGGGGGCAACCATGGGAATAGTGACAGGACCCCCCTGCCCGACCCCTCCCGTCCAGAACCTCATGAAGACCTGCATGACCACATACTCCAGTCTGACCTTAGTGGGGCAGGTGTGGGGACAGGCAGACAGCACACTCACCCTTGGACCCAGCGCTCCTGAGTCACCCTTGTCACCTCGCTCACCCTTTTGCCAGTGAAAAGAGAGAAAAAAGAATTAGTAGTGTGTTGATAGTCTAGAAAGATCTCCAATTAAAGACGTATTTAATACCACAGAGCAGTTCCCATGGACATTTGGCATGGCCAGCAACAAAAGTCACAACCAATGCACTTAATGCTGTTGTAGAATATTAAAATTCCCCTTTCTGAGGACGGAGTATTTATTTTTTTATGTATTTTTGGGTTATACCCAGTGATGGTTGGGGGTTACTCCTGGCTCTGGACTCAGGAATTACTCCTGGTGGTACCATATACAATGCTGGGGATCGAACCCAGGTCGGCCACATGCAGGGCAAATGTCCTACCCGCTGTACTATTGCTCCGACCCCCAAAGATGGAGTATATTGAATGTAGACTCTATATAATAACTCTCTCACTCAGGATATTCAAAGCAATGGGAAAAAAAGGTTTCTATGAACCCCAAAGTAAGCTTTTACCCCTCAGGTTGAGTCATGTTCTTGCCTTTTATGAAGACATTTGGGGTGAAGGGTAAAGGTTAATTAGCTGGGTTGTCTGCCCTCTGAGAACAGACGTACAGATAATTGGGACAGAGCTCATTCTAGGAGGCAAGGATGCTCATCAGCTAGAACCCCTCTGATATCTGGGATCAGGAAAGTTTGTCTCTAGATATTTTAATGCGTGAAGGTGCTGAGGAGGACAGCCCTCAGTTGGAACTGGCTGGCAGAGAGGAAGTCAGTGGGCCCAAATCCAGCCTTCTCTCTCTTACTTAAGTGCCACATGAGGAAGCTGCCTCAATGGTGTCATGAACCTGCTCATAGCAGCTGAAGACATCCAGAGAACATGCAAAATTCTCAGGACTCTACATTTAAGTATTTGGATATTGGAAACTACACAGATTTGAAGGTTCTATAAAATAGCCTTACGTTGATAACATCCTTTTTCTAAATGAAATTAAAACATTTTTATAATGTTTTTCTACAAATTACTACAAACTGGGTGAGAACCAATGAAGTTAGGCAGGAAAGGAATTCTAGTATTTTCATGCTCTCATTATGCTAAGAGCACTGACCATGATAATTAAATTTGCAATGAATAGAGAATTACTAATTTCTGCTCTCTGCTTCACTCCTTTTTCATGCCATTAGCTAATAGTACCTTAAATAACACAATTCTGCTAACAGCATATAAATTATTGTAGATACAATATAGAACATGATAAAACGACTTTAATTGGTGGTGAAATGTTAATGGTTTGAAGGGACTCAACCGATTATAAAGCTAAGTATAACCTTTATGATAAATTTGAAAAGTGAAAATATAAGTGAATAATTATATTCACTCTCTTATAGAGAGAGTGAAAATAAGACTGAAAAAACAGATGAAAAAATAAGAGAATAAAAAATAAGGGTGAAAAGATCAAACCACACTTTTTCTTACGGAATAGTCTGAGGTCAAGAATATACAAAACAAACTTGAAAGAAACGGCTTGTAACTTTATGAAAATAAAAGAAAAAAAAGAAACAGGATTGATTGTGCTCAGAATGAAATGATTACACCCCCACTGAGAGTTCAACCTAGAGCATGAACATGAACAAAAGTCAAAGCTCAACTCCTGAAGGTCTCAAGTCACTAAAATTGGTCATCCTGTTATTCACAGTGGTCATTTCATTACTGACAGTTGTCATCCCATTACTGACCTTGGACCCCTTTGGGCCTCTAGTTCCCGATTCACCTTGTTTTCCCTATGGCAGGAGAACAGAAAGATGAGAGAGAGAGAGAGAGAGAGAGAGAGAGAGAGAGAGAGAGGAGAAAACAGTGGAAATACAGAATAAGAGATTAGCAGTGGCCCAGAATCCACAGAGAAGCTCGCAGCAAAGTTGCCTGATCCCCTGAATTATAGGTCCTTCCCTGCTCTCCCCACCCCTGCCCTCCGTCAGGAGGGGGGCAGACCTGTGAGGGATTCTCATCAGTCTCAACAGCATGGGTCTGCACACGCTTTCTTGTCATCAGAGTAAATCGAAATCTGTGCCTTGAGATGGCTTATTAAAATTAAGTGTTACCATCTTAATTCTCAGGAAGAGAAAGGACAGATTGAAGAGTCAAATCAACCCTCAGCTCTAATGTTTTCAAGGGGCCCCACCACCGGCTACTGAGAAACCAACTCAGCAGCCTCCACGTTCTCCACAAAGAGTTTTAGTCCCCATGCAGTGATAATAACCCACTGACAGGATGCTCCCCGCCCTTCCCACTTGGACACGCTGTTAAATCACAGAAGAGAACAGAGTAGACTGGAAGTCAAACTGGGAACTCCCGTTTGAAAGGAGGAGACTGGTGTGAATGTTAAGAAATGACTAGTGATTTCGGCTCCTTAAATATCATCCGTACTATGAAAAATGTAAGAGATCATTTTCGTTTCACCTTCTAGGGCACTTCTGGTGCTCACCTGGGGGATTTCCACCCCCTCCTGACCTGGGTGTCCCCAGAATAGCCCCAAATTGTGTAAATAAGGCTAACACAGAGCACAATTAAGGGGTCAACTAGTAGGATAGGGAACCAGGAAACAGGGTTGGGGAAAGGTTGAGAAAACCCATTGGGAAGTATGTGACTTCCCCTCAGGGAACTAACCTTGGGTCCTGGGATGCCAGGTTCTCCACGCTCTCCTCTTCCAGGGGGCCCCAGTGCCCCACGCTCACCCTGTCACAAATTGCAGGCAGTAAGTGACACATTCCTTTGCCTGCTTGCACAAAGACTGGCCCTTGTAGATCAATAATAAAAGGTAAAAGGTAAAGGCCCTCCTGTTGTTCATCGATTTGCTCGAGTGGGCCCATTGGAGATTTTGTTGTTACTGTGTCTGGCATATTGAATACATCACAGGTGGCTTGCCAGGCTCTGCTGTGTGGGTGAGATACTCTCGGTAGCTTGCCGGGCTCTCCGAGAGGGGCGGAGGAATCGAACTCGGGTCAGCCATGTTGGCTGCGTGCAAGGCAAACGCCTTACCGCTGTGCTATCGATAATAAGTGACATAAATAAAGTCAAAGAAAGCAGAGGGCTGCTATTTACTGGCCAGGAACCCAAACAGATGAGCTCAGTAGCAATGCAAACCATGGCTTCATCTTTCTATTAGCACACCCATTTGGTTCAGTAGCTGACTCAAGGCCACTCTTGGTACAATGCTTGGGATCCCATGGAATGCTGGGGACTGAATCTGGGCCAAAGCAAGTGCCCTGCCCTCTGAGACCTCTCTCTGGCCATATGTCCATGACTGAGATAAGGAAGTGTTTCTGTCAACGCCCCTCAGAAAGAGATGTGGGTAAACTGGAAAAGGGTGGGTGAAGGCCATCATTACACCTGAAAACAAGGTCATCATTACACCTGAAAACAGCACTGCATGGATTTTGCATTCAGTATGATTGCTTCATGAGTCGGGAGAAAAAAATGTGGGGCTGGCTTATTTTTAGGAAGATGGCCACAGAAAGGGAACAAAGTCGGAAAAGGATGCAGAGAAACAATGCTTAGGACCCAGACCAATCTCCTTGGTCTCTCCATCGCCTCCCCCCTCCCCCACCTTTTTGGTTTTTATCCACGAGATACACGGACTCTTTCCTCCTGGCTCTGAGGCTACAGGCCTGAATAAAACAAAACTTACATGAACGTGAATGCTTATTTATCTCTTGTTCTTTTTCTTTTATTCTAGAAACTGCCTTTCTTGTCAAATCTGGTCAGGCTTAACCAAAAAAATCTTCCTTTGGGGGCGGCAGTGAGGGTCACACCCAGGGGTGCTCAGGGGTGACTCCCATCTGGGTGCTGCTGGGGCAGGGGGGACCTGTGTGATGCTGGGAATGGAATCTGGGGTTCTGTTCCAGCCCCCTGGGCCAGCTCCCAGGCCCCCACCTCACATTTTGTTAATAAGCCTGGCAGCTCATTATGTGAAAAGAGATTTCTTGAGAAAATAGCAATTCCGAATAAATTTGATCAAGTTTCAGTACCCCTTAGGCACACATAGTTTCCATTTACGAGGATTAGAGTAATTTTCTCTTGACCAGCAGAAACGAGGATCCTTTTGTCAGAGCAGAGCATGAACATATTTCTTGAGCTCTTGGAAACCATCCTGGCCTCTTTCTGGTGAACGCAACACACACTGAGGCAAAGACTGCTATGATTTTAAAAAAAAAATCAAAGAATGCAGTTTGATCTAATTTTGCCTCTTCTTTGATTCACGAGTCTGTCATGAATAAAGTTCTGTCCTCAGAGCTGTACCTTTTTATGTCCTACTGGGTAGATAAAAAGAGAACTATGGGCCTGTCTCCCCAGCAACAGGGTTTTTATATGGTGGCATAAAGACTTCCCTTTCAGATCCCTCTCTAGGTTTGCCAAGAGGAAGATCAGGAGGTGGTTTTCATTACCGAATCTCTCTGCAGATGTTGCTCTGGATGGATCTTTTGGGGATGAGGTACACAGGAATCTATATGACATCAGTACTTTCCTTTGAAATTCAGGGAGTGAAGGGTAACAGTAAGACTGTCTGATTTACAAGTGTGACCTAAAATTGGTGATGAGGACCAGGAGTCAATGGATTTTAGCTCTCCTCCTCACAATTCTCTGACTTTTCTGTAAGGTCAGAGTCTAAGAGCATCAAAAAGTGTTTAGGAGTAACTGGTGAATGCAACACACGCTGAGGCAAAGACTGCTATACAGCCAATAAAGCTCTTCATCATGACATCTTGCCTTAAGTTTTCTGAAATTATCTCATAGTCCTCTATTTGCAATGTGTTCTAATAGAAATGGTGGTAATGGGTGAAATAGAACTTTTAACTTCTTTTTCTTCTTCTTTTTTTAGGTGCCATGGGGTAGAACCATAGCCTCTTGCATGTAAGACATGAGTTTTATCACTGAACCACAGCTTGACCCTTTGTAATTCTTTGCTAGGAAAAAATATTTGGTCACCTAAATAATACAGTCACAAATTTTCTCTCAACATAATGGCACACATAAGACATATGACAAAAAAATATGACAGAAACTTTCAAAAAGTAATGTGAGAGAAAAAGACTCCATTTACCTTTGTTCCTGGCAAGCCTGGTAAGCCTGGTTCTCCTTGGGGACCAATGAAACCTGGTTCTCCCTTTAAAATAGAGAGGACATGGGGTTTTCATTCATTTGACAGGAAATAAGTGAAAAGGCAATCTGATTTTCTTCTATAGGGATTTTCACCCTTGGTTATATACAGATCTCTTACCGTGGTCCAACTATTGACTATAAAATTAATCAGAGCAGCTTTTAATCAGTGAAAGTGGTTTTGGAAAAGCTATTAATAAAGTAAAAGTGATAACAAAACTAAATTGCTGTCTTCATGACCTACTTTCTCATCTGCTCTCATGTTTATCATCCTCATCAAACCCAGATCCATTACATTTGGGTGGATGCGGTGGGTCTCCCCCAAAACACACCCCAGCAATTCCCAGTCCTGTTATTCATGTCCCCCCTGTGGTTCCTTCCATTGAAACGTGGATTTACAGACTCAGAGGTAATGAACAAACCAAAAAATGCCTTCTGAGACAAAGCTGTAAAAAGACTGTGACTTCCATTAGGGGCTATTTCTTGTTCTTGCTGACTTAGACCAGTTGCTTCGGGTAAAGCGGCCCTCTGAAGAGGCCACTGGTGAGGACCAAAGTTGTGGAAAACTACACAAGTGAGTCTGTGACCATCTGATCAACCTCAGTGGAGACACATATGTGAACACAGAGTTCACAGCTTGATTGCACCCTCATGAGACACAGAGCAACAGGAGCCCAGACATGCTCGCTCAAGTTCCTATTTCTCTGAAACTGAGATAATTATGGTCTCTTCTTTTGAGTCCTGCAAGCTTAGGAGGGGAATATTGTGGGCAGCAGTAGATGACTGATGGAGTGGATGTGACTGGAGCAGAAATTCAGATATTTCAGTCTTTGCTTTAGGATGCTGGAAAGGAAACAGGAAGATACAGAGACAGTGCTTTACAAGAAGTTAAAATATATCATAAAATATTTGTGACACAAGGGAATTTTAAAAATAGACCATATAAAACTGGGTGGGGAAAAAGGATATTGCCCTACAAAATGTTTCATGTCAATATAGAATCAAAAACTAATTATTTCCAACTCTGAGACCGGTATGAGAAAGTGGAGAGTCACTAATGCTTTATGTCTCTTGTTTGTGAAAGTCTTTCTGCCTGTTCATGTGCATTTATACATAACAAAAAAGAGAACCTGAATAAATAACTTTGGCTGAATTTCTTAGTGGCCTGAAATGAAAATCAACTATATTCAGAGAATCAGTGATGAGCATTCTATATCTTATGAAAGTTTGACTTATTCATATAAATGATAAAAATACATTTATTTATAAGTTCCAAGTTTCTCCCAGTAAGACAATATAAACAAATGTATATACAAATGTATACAAAAATACAAAATATTCACCCTATAAAGTTAAGAAAAAATATATCTGTATTAAAGTAATGTGTATCATTGGTAACTATTTATAATCATAAAAATATGATGCAAGTTAATAGTTAATAGGTAGATAACACTCTGGCACGTCTTCAGGTAGACATAGTGATGTCACTCTGAGCAAAGCAAATAAAAGCACCATAAAAGAAAGAAAAAAGAGTAAATGTTGCAAACGTTTCTTCTTGTTTGGGTTAGTGTTAGTTTGTAGAAAAGTGGAAGCATGCAATTTTATAATTCACATATAAATAAAAGACATTTTGTGATGTCAGTAGTCAAGATGTATTTTTTTTTTTTTTTGGAGGCCACACACGATACTTGATGCTAAGTTAAACCTGGGCCACTGACATGCAAGACAAGTGCCTTATCCCTTGTACTATTTCTCCAGCTCAAAGATAATCCCTTTTTTTCCTTTAAAAAATGGAACATACATGGAATTCTCACATGTAGATGTATAGAAAGCTTATTTAAACTTAATTTTCATGGTAAAACTTTTACTTAAAGATACACTTGAAATGCAGTGCATTTGAAAGTCACGGCCTTTAGCACTACCAAGCTACCTATTTTATTGAAAAATTTTGGCTTTATGCCACACCTGGCGGTGCTCAGGGAGGCAAAGCATGTGATCCGGTGTGCCACACCAGTGACCTGGCTCCACGGCTTGGTGTATGATTCCTTACACCTCATCATGCCGCTCCAGGAATGTGTCTACCTTATATTTATATTTATTTCAACTCATCAATTTGTTTGGGGGGAAATAGCATACTCAGCTCTAGGATCACAGTTCCGGAGTCCTCGACCCCTAGAAAGACACTCTTATTCTCTCTATTTTGCAAGGATGAAGGAGAGGATTGTTCTTTGCTCCTCCTGCTTCAGGGTTGAGATAAAGAGAATACAAATATGACTACTGTGGCATTAACTGGTTGGATTGATTATTTATGTCCCTAAGCTTTCATCAGGATTCTCACATCTAGTCATGCACCTTCATCAGGGAAGAAAAAGTAAGAAAAGTCCTTTGGCAGAGTTTCAGAATCCACCCTGCATCTAAACTTCAAGAAACTTTCTTGTACTTGAAGGCATTCTACTTGTAGCATTTGGGTTGGTATCAAAATAAAATTTGCATACAATTTTATGCGAAGGCTATTAAAATAATCTCCACTTGTTCACAGAAGTATCTATATGAGGCCCCTCCTCATGTACTTAAACCAAAATAATAAAGTGTAACAGATTGACTGCAGAAGCAGATATGAGAATCCAGCTGCCTTGGATTAAGAAACACATTAAAGATATTTTTTAGAAAAGCATGACACTGTAACTTGCTATTTTTTTTGTTTGTTTGTCTTGGAAAGTTCAGTTACATTTCAAAAGTATGTTATTTAATTAACTTGTAATGGGTTTTAGAAATTCTCAGCTTTGTTTTTTAAAGTACATAAATATCAAGAGATAAATGGACAGAAGCTCTGTAAATCCCAATTTTGAAGTATTCGAAAGGATTTTTTTGAGGCCAAACTGTTTGAGAACTGTTGGTACACAATATATCATTGAGTTAAAGACTGGCTTAACAAGTTGGCATCCTGAAGTGTCAGATAATGGGAGATTCTAGAATTATTAAAAAATGGCTTAATCAAGACCTACAGAATAGTACAAGCAAGAGAAATTGAGGTCATCACTTGGGAAAAAGTCAAGAAACAATAAATGCTCCCCATTACTGTTGCCTTGATGTTATAGGCTCAAGTCTTAGCAATTACTATTATTAGGAGTAATAATAAATAATTACTGGTGCTGGGGGTTACTCCTGCTTCTGTGTTTTCTGCAACCAATAGATGCAATTGATTCTTCTTGTTTCATTACCACGTACACTCAGAACTTCTTTGATTCTTTGAAGAAATAACTCGGCATTTTTCTCATGTGACTATACCATCATTTTATGAGACAATATATACTTCCCAAGTCATATGGGATTGTGAAACAAAACAAAGTTTAATACACATCAGCAACGTGTAGGTTAGAATGCAGATTTACTAAGAATGAGCTTTCCTCCTTTTGGAAAGGGGCAGGGGATAAGGTCAGAGATCTTGAAATCTCCTCAATCAATATTAACCTTAAAAAATTCTTTTTGTCTAACTTGAACTGATGGGCAGTTTAAAGTTTCTAGAATCTCTTGAAATGTCTGGACAAAGGCTATGACAACCTACAGTTTTACAAACATTTTGATATGATTTTAAAAAATAAGCAAGTGATTATTTTTACTGTCAATTGCATTTCCGTTCCTTAGAACAGAGGGGAAAAAAACAGGGGAAGGAAAGTAATGGGCAGCAACTGAATATGATACAAGCACAGATCACTTTTTGGTTTGCCTTGGTTTTATTTGGCTACACCTGGTGGTACTCAGAGATCACTCCTGTGAGGGCTTAGGGCTTGCAGGGACCCTGTGCCATGCTGGGGATCGAACCTGGGTCTGTCAATTGCTAGGTAAGCAAACGCCTCGACCGTGGGCGATCTCACAGAGATCATATTTGGAAACCACCTTGGGAGTAAGTCTTATTATACAAAAATGAGTTTATGTAAGTTTACCAGGAAATAAATAAGAGAAACTACTACCTCTGAACCAACTGATGATTCTTCAGGATATCTTTGTATATTGTACTCATTGATGCAGAGGCAAATATGAGATTGCTAAACTGAAAATTATTCAGCTCTGCTGTGTCTGAGTAGATGGGGTACACAGATACCAGAGAGAAAGTTGGAATTCGGATGCAATTAAGCTCATACATTATTTTTAATAAAGGAGCAGTTAAATCTAGAGCTGTTTTTATAAAGCTTTTTTGAGGGTGGTACCTGAATCAGAAAATCCAAATTATAATTTCAATAAGCCCTTATGGAAATAACATGAGGAGAGGTGAGAGCCTCTGGAAAGGGCATGGCAATCAGGGAAGTGCGAATTTGCATAGTCAAACATGGCAGAGAGCTATACCGGTGAAGCAGAACTCCCATGTACAGTGTTTCCTGAAACAACATTCACCATTTTAGTTGGTGATGAGTTACTGCTTTGTAAAAAATGGCAAGACAGGGGCTGGAGGGAAAGGCGTTAAGGTGCATGTCTTGAATGCATCCCATTCCAGTTTGATTCCCAGCATGCAGCATATGATCTCTGAGCAAATAAACATGATTCAAACACAGATCACTAGGCGTGATCCCTGAACACAGAGATATGAGTATGAGGTAACACTTTGTCCCCTGGCTGCCCCCTCCCCCAAACACAAATGACAAGAAATAGCTAAGAGTATGGGGCTGGAGCGATAGCACAGCGGGTAGGGTGTTCGCCTTACAAGCGGCCAACATGGCCGACCCGAGTTCGATTCCTCCGCCCCTCTCGGAGAGCCCGGCAAGCTACCGAGAGTATTCGATATGCCAGACACAGTAACAACAAAGTCTCCAATGGAGACGTTACTGGGCCCGCTCGAGCAATGGGTAAGGTAGTGGTCCTGCACAAGCACCCGGGCCCCAGCGATTAGCAGAGGAATAAGTTACAAAGAGCTCAGATGCATTCAGAGCTACTTCAATGTTTCCCTCTTAAGGTTCACACACACACACACACACACACACACACCACACACAAACACACACACGTGTGCAC